CCGCAGAGCCGCTATGGAGGCAGTTCGTCTGCACTCTGCGTGCCACCGCGTACTCCTTTCCTACCTTGAAGGCTTTGGGAGGCCTGTTGTAAAGCCAAAACTGTTGTTGGGAAGTACTTTGCCTATGAAAGGCTTGATGATTTTAGGGATAAATCCATTTCCTGCTCTTACAACTAACTAATCCTGATGACAGATCTGTATATCCTGGTAAAATAGGCTAGAGCGGTGATACTGATCTGTAAAAAGAGTGTTCGTCATCACCTGAAATCTTAGACTCGCAACAACAAAAAACCCTACAGTGCATCTTTAGCCATGTTGACTTCTGACATTGTGTTGTCACTGTTAGGTTAGGTGACATAATAAACTGGAAGAGCCATTGTTCAGTCCCAAAGGTGTGATTATCCCGCAAGTACTTATTATTTGTGTCTTTTGGCCATGTTTGGAGAGCAGAACACGGGATCGTTAGCTTAGATCCAGAAGGCATGTAGGACGAGCATGCCGCATCTGACAGGTTAGACTACATAAACAAACTTTGGGCTTTTGAGAGAATCTTGTGCTTTATGTAAAAATACTCCTCTAAGAAAAAAAGAGTACTGTGGCTTTTAAGACCTAAAGGGCCTTTTTAAAATACTAAACTAATGTACCTACTTTATATCTTTTAAACTTTTTTTGGGTTGTGGTTGGTAAAGGACATTGAAAATGACAAGCTCAATATATAGGTGCTAATTTAAATAACTTTGGTTATTGAGTATGCACTGGGTACTAGGAAAGAACAGAGTTTTCTCCCTCCGGGATTTGAATCTTAAGTTAGAAAAGGTATGAAAACCCAGATAAAAAACATAATAGTACCACAGTAGTCTCTTTCCATCTGAGGTTACTTTCCCTGATTTGGATTTGTCTTTTATTAAGTAATCTCTACACCCCACATGGGGTTCAAACTCACAACTCTGGGATGAGGAGTTGTATGCTCTACCAACTAAGCCTACCAGGCACCCCTGGATTTGTCTTTTAAATTCACTGAGCATGCTGCTTCATGTCTTTGGACAACACATAGGTACTCAGTGAATACTCACTGTAAGGTTATAAAGGTGGGTAATTTGCTACGTAAGTTCCTAAGGAGGTAAGGTGATAGCCTGGGTGCTCTAAATATGATAAATATTCGAGGAGAAATGCTTAGAAAATTATTTCACTGGGAAACAATTTTTAGAGGTTTTAACTATGTTATCTTAGTTTTCGAGCAGGTACTCATCTTCACTATTGGTCTAGCTTCTACTAAAACCAGGACTGCTGCAGGAATTATTTCATGACTAAGCATCTGCCTTTAGAGAGCTTAACTCTAATCGACAGAATAAGTTATTACTACATAAAAAAGCCAGCTGTTGCCTGTTTTTAAATTTTGGTACAGGCATTGTGAGAGGCAATGTTGAAGGATTTGAAAGGCCAGGAGAACACAATCAACAGCAAAGGATATTTTGCTGGTACCTAGTAACACCTAGAGTGATGGAGAGATAATAAATTGTCAACAAAATACCTTTCTTTTTCTTATTAGATTCCCAGTGTGCGAGAGCCAGCCACAAGACTCAAGCATAAAAGAGATAGGACTATTTTCCAAGCAACCTACGTTTAAAAGAAATGAGTACCGATTTATGCCTTATGTTACTTCCTGTATTCATAGATTGTACACAAACTCCTAGGGAGCAAAATATGATTTTGTATAATCTATACATCATATTGGACAACAATGCTCAATAAAAATAAAATGTCCTCTTCTAAACACAAGCTATTGATACATATTGGTAGATAGCTCCAGTTTTTGTAAAGTTAAAGTCGTGGAAATGAGTCACTTCCTGGAGTCATGAGTAGGATAAAGTCATAGACCAAATTATATTCTTCCTTCTTTATCCCCTGCCCTTATCTGTCCTCAAAAACTGATAGTTGAGGGGTACCTGGCTGGCTCAGTCAGTGAAGCATGTGACTCTTGATCTCAGGATTATGAATCCGAGCCCCACTTTGGGTGTAGAGATGGCTTAAAATTTGTTTTAAAAAATTGATAACTGAAAAAGAAATTAGCCAATTAGAATACCTTTTGTTGTTTTCACTATGATAACCATGTTGTTTTGTGTGATAGTAAAATCAATAGCAGAATGTTATTTAAATTACCATGGTTGTCCAAATCTAGAATCTGTGAATTTGGATTTCTTTCCCATGAGCTGACAGTGGGAAGTTTTGTTGTGTCTGTTAAAAATAGATACATACTTTCCCCACTTAAAATTTTTCAAAGGGAGCACCTGGGTGGCTCAGTCAGTTGGGTGTCTGCCTTCAGCTTGGGTCATAGTCTCAGGTTCCTGGGATCGAGTCCCCTATCAGGCTCCCTGCTCAGTGGGGAGTCTGCTTCTCCCTCTCCCTACTGTTCTTTCTCTTTGCCAAATAAATAAATAAAATCTTCTAAAAATTTTTTTCAAAGGGAAAAAAAATTTAAGGGAAAATAATGCCTGTAAGTTAAAATGTGAATAAGCCCCTTGAAGGCAGGGACTTTGTCTTATTTTCTGTTGTTTCCCTAGCACCTATACCTGGTACATTGGAGCTCAGTAATCTATGTCGAATGATCTTTTCTGTAAACTAGAACCAAGTCAAAATTTTTAAACTAATTCTTCTGTTTTTATGAATGCTGTTTCTTTAGCTTTCTCTTACATGACTTTCATAACTGGAGGTAGAAAAAACAGAGAGTACACTTTGTTCCTTTATGATTCAGTATCCGTAATTGTGAGACATAAACTTGTTGAGAGAGATTTAAGATCTAGAAAAGATGAAGGAGCAGTTACCGAAAAGCAGCAGACCAGTTAGACAACATATTCATCCAGTCATCAAATAATTTAAATTACTTTTTTTAAATGAGAGAACAGTATGTTTAGATTCCTCAGCCCTCCTTTGAATGCTTTAAACAGATAGGTTGTGGGGTATTAATCACTCTGACATAGCAAGAGAACCAATCACCTTTCCTAGTCATGCTTAATTGATAGGTTATAATCTTAATGGTTAAATTTCAAAAATCTTTTTTTTTTTTTAAGATTTTATTTATTTATTTGACAGAGAGATCACAAGTAGGCAGAGAGGCAGTCAGAGAGAGAGGAGGAAGCAAATCCCCACTGAGTAGAGAGCCCGATGCGGGCCTCGATCCCAGGACCCGGGACCATGACCTGAGCTGAAGGCAGAGGCCTTAACCCACTGAGCCACCCAGGTGCCCAAATTTCAAAAATCTTTTTAATTGAAAATGGAATCTGATTTTTGTTTTTATAGCTGTATAACTGCTCAACATACTGATTTCTTTAGAGAGAAAATTCCTTTCAATAATAGATTGACTCCAAATATCATTGATTATAGTTGGCAAAAATGCCACATAAATACTAAATTAGCCATCATCAATGTAACAAATTGAAGTAAGCTAATTAGTGTAATAACATGACTCTATTTAACAATTTTGAGAATAAAACAAATGTTTAAGTTAGAGGCAACTGATTAAAACCACAAATCCAAAACTTAATGTTAGAGGAGGTGCTATCTACACAAGACAAATAATCCAGATTCCTTACCAAGTATAAAATTAACTTGAGCATTCTGACCCTTCACTATTTCTGCAAAGATCAGATTTTTTCTTGAAAATGGAACACAACAGAAAGGCAGATTTTAGGGGGGTTTTGCCCACTTTTTAAATTTATTTCTTAAGTAGGCACCATGCCCAGCATGGAGCCCAACGCCAGCCCAAACTCAAAACCCTGATACCGAGATCTGAGCCGAAATCAAGAGTAGGACCCTTAACCAACTGAGCCACCTCGGCACCCCTCTTTTTTGCCCACTTTAAACAATATACAGGGAACATTATAATTGGAAACTAAGGATTTTGTGGTTTTTAAATCTTAGATTTTGAACATCTGGTTCAAAGGTCTGCTTAGAACTTTTAAATGACTCAAATTCCCAGTAGGATATTAAATGTTAATATAGCCATCATTGTATTAAAGCAGCCTAGTACTTGACTTTCTCACATGTTCTCTTTCCCTTTAACATGGTAGATTAAATGAGGTATGTCTGATATGGTCCCTGCCTGCCCTCTAGCTTATTACCCACCCTCTACCTTTTTCTGAGCTCCAGCCTTGAGTACCAAGATGTGCAATTTTCCTTCTCAACTCAGGACCTTTGCTGAAGGATTCATTCTACCTAGAATGCTGTTTACCCCTTCTCTTAACACATTTTAACTCCTTATCCTATCCATCAGTTCTATCTAAAAACAGAACAAAACAAAAACAAAAACCATCCATGGGTGTGTGTATCTGGGTGGCTCAGTCGGTTGAGGCTCACTCTTGATCTCGGCTCAAGTCTTGATCTGAAAGTCCGACTTTGAGCCCCATGTTGCGCTTCCCTCCCACTGACCTGTGCTGGGTGTGGAGCCTACCTTAAAAGAAAAAAAAAAATAATCATTTGAGGGGAAAACTTTGACTCTACTAGATCAGCTCTTGGTTTGACACTCTTGATAACCTGTACTTAATGACAACACAGTTTATAATGGTTGTTCGGTGTCTGTTTCCCCACTGGATTACAAGCTCCAAGGTATCAGGAAACCTGCTTATTCGTAGCAGAGTTGGCTAAAAAAATTACTAGTCTCGAAGTAGAACTATTGTCTTATAATTACTAGGCATGTCAACTATATCGTACAATTCAGTCCATTCTTTGGAGCATTTGTTTTCTGACTTTATAATATGTATTTGATGATATATCAGACAGGGGTGTCTGGGTGGCTCAGTTGGTAGAGTGTCTGCCTTTGGTTTGGGTCATTATCCCAGGGTTTGGGATCAAGCCCTGCCTCAGGCTTCCTGCTCAGCAGGAGGCCTGCTTCTCCCTCTCCTTCTGCTTGCTGTTCCCCCTGCTTGTGCTCTAATAAATAAAATCTTTAAAAAAATAAAAAATTAAGAAGTTGACAATTTCGTGATCACACTGAGATGTTTTAATGTAAACTTTATTATAGAAGTCATACAATAAAAAAAATACAGAATGGTTTGTGATCTAAGATGGAGAGTGAATCTCCTCCTTCCCACCACCCTCTAATCTTTCAGTGTCATGACTACAGTTTCTTTAAAATTATATGGTGTTACGATACATTATAACAGTAAGCATCACTACTATTATGGAGGATTGAAACTCAATTCTATAATATGTTTTAAAAAACTGGGTTGCCAAAAGCCCATTTTCTTCACATTTAATATTCTCCCTCATTAAAGTAATATTTTTGTAACACAGGTACTTTGTACCCACATTGGTCACCAAAATTTTATAGTCTTATCTTGCAAGTGTAACACATATATAATTGAACAGTTAGTGAACATATAGAGATTGAGCACAATTAAGGCCCACAAGGTACTGCTGTGTAATGTATCTACTAACAGGTTGATCAAACCAGTAGTTATATTTGACAGCAAGAAAAAAATTAACTGGTTTCTGTTCATAGCTGTGATTAAACAAAGACTGGGTTCCTTTCTTTCAGCTTCAGAGACTAGAGATTCTGAATGCTTTTTATTTGTGGCAGACAACTGGATTGGTTTCCAAGAACATGGTACTATAGCCCCTTTAATTAGGAATTTGGCAAAACTCAAAATTATGTCACACAGTAATAAACTACTAAGAAGTATCAGGCTAGAAGCAATTATCCAAATACAAAAAGCTAAATTGGCCATTCTCCGAGATACTACTTCTACATTTACCTGAACTATGTAAAGAGATATGAAGAGGCTAATAGCTGTCAGCAGAATGTGGTATGTTCCTTTTACCCAGTCTTTGACATGTGATCTTTTTTTAAGCATATATGACCCTGTTTGCACACCAGCCATATGAATTGCCACATACCCCAAGGTAGAGATTATTCCTTCTCGGTTGGCATTTAATAAACCAATCCTTGTGCCACTGCCATCAGTGCCATACAAAATTAACCTTTTCAGTGGGGTAAAGTCAAGGGCTAGTTGGTAGAACACAATAATGCTAATGGCCACAATCCAGGATTTATTTAGAGGAAAAATAATTAAAAGCAGTGATGTTAACAGTTTCACAACTATTAAGGTAAAAAAAAAGTTCCAGTGAACTCCATACTCAGTTAAATGTTCCTGATAGCCTATGGATTTTATAATGACTAATCGTCCGACTCCTAGGAAGACTAGTGGCCAAACAGAGTACAGTGACTTTGTAAGATAATAAAATCTGGACACGTCAGTGTATTTTCTCCTAACCTCTGGACAAACCATTGCAGTCCCAAAAATAAAACCTCCTACTCCAAAATCCATTGCTCCTGTCCCATAGAGCTCAGTTTTGGCAAATCTTCTGGGAAAAATTGGGAAGTCCACAGCCAAAATGGCAATAGCAGTAAATGCACTGTTAATTACACGGAAACAAGAGATGGCTGGAACGTATTCTGATTCTAGACCAATTTTCAAGAATTTTTCAAGTATTTTCTGGACAGGCATTCTGGCACAGCAAGTTCTCCTGCGGTATATTTGATAGAATAGCCCTGCCCCAAGGATAATTACAGCAAGGTGCTCAAGGAGGACAAATGAAGACAAAATGGTCAAAGTGGCCACCAAGGGAACTATTAGGAAAACAAAGTCAGTGAAGAATCTAGTTCTCCAGGTATGTGAAGAACACAAGTGCTGTGAGAGAATGATCAGGAGCCCTCTGCACAGGATACAGAATGCAGGTAAGCATAGGCCCTGGGTGACTTCCAGCAGGCTGGTTCCATTGTGGTTACTGACAAAAGCTTCCTTCATCTGCTTTTGAGACATTTTTTCTTCTTCCTGTGAAAATAAGAGCAAAGGGATGCACTGGAAAAGCAATGTTCTTCTGGAATAGGCATATATATGTAGAGGACTTGATTTTACTTTTTTTAAAGATTTATTAGCACGTACGTGTGTGCAAGTAGGAGCAGAGGGAGAGAGAAACTTAAGCACACTCCTCAGTAAGCTCAGAGCCCGACAGGAGGCTCGACTTCAAGATCCTGAGATCATGACCTGAGCTGAAACCAAGAGTCTGGTGCTTAAACACCTGCCCCACTCAGGGGCCCGATTTTACTTTTATTCCTAGATTTCAGAGCAGAACTTTAGGCCTAATGATTTCAAATCAGGGCAGGAACTAGAATTTGTGATTCCCCTTCCAAGGATTGTGGGAAGAAGCCCAACACCTCAGGGTAAGAATGTCAGGGCACCTCGGTGGCACATTCGGTTACACATTCGACTCTTGGTTTCAATTCATGTCCTGCTGAGATTAAGCCCCACCACTGGCTCTGTGCTCAACCCAGAGTCTGAAATTCTCTCTCCCTCTCCAACTAGTGCTCTCACTCTCTCAAGTAAATAAATACATCTTTAAAAAAAGAAAAAGTAAAAAGGAGGGGCCCCTGGGTAGCTTAGTTGGTTAAGCATCTGCCTGGGGCTCTCTGCTTAGCAGGGAGTCTGCTTCTCTCTCTGTGCTCTCAGGTAAATAAATAAAATCTTGGGGCTCCTGGGTGGCTCAGTGGGTTAAAGCCTCTGCCTTCGACTCAGGTCATGATCCCAGGGTCCTGGTCATTGGGCTCTCTGCTCAGCGGGGAGCCTGCTTCCTCCTCTCTCTGCCTGCCTCTCTGCCTACTTGTGATCTCTGTCAAATAAATAAAATCTTCAAAATAAATAAATAAAATCTTTTTAAAGGAATGTCATGCCAATAGTATGAAATTATTGGTTAATGAGCTGTAGCTATTCTCTATATAAGGCAGACTCACAAAGAAAGTTACTTTGGGATATAAATCCTGAAAATGGAATCAGAGTCAGAAACGAATTTCTATTACAAACATGTAATATGCTATTAAAATTTTGTAATGCAAACAAAACTAATGACTTCAAGTCAAATCAGAAGAGGACAGGGAGAAAGAAGATACTTAAGTACACGCTGGAGTTGAAGACCTTGGTTTGTGTGAAAAGCCTCTCCGAACCCATTGCCTCCAGTACAAAATACTAGACCTCCAGTGACATCCTGAGCCCCGGGCTGCTCCCTACCTCATTCACAGTCATGCTTTCAGGTTAGGGTGGAGATGGGTAGAGTGGATGCTAATCCTCGGAAAGGGGGCGAACGTCCAGGAAAGGCCTGGATGTAGAGCACACGCTAGTATTCGTGGTTTCAAAGAGCTGTAAAACACCTCTCTCATATTTCGAAGTCCTTAAAGGGGCACACAGCAAGAACACGTTTGTTGACTAAACCAGAACCATGGAGAACAAATGGATGCATGCGTGCCTGACGACCTGTCTGAGCCAGCGATAACTTCACAGGGTAACAAACCGATCAGAATCGTCTGGCTTTTAGAAATAAAGGAGTCTTTTTCCTGACGGACACGCGCCACGGCCGCGCCGTCCCTTACACCTCACGTGCCTTCGATGTTCCGGCGCCCCGGTGGCCGGCCGTCTACTTGGGCCGGGCTGCACGACTCCCACCGCAGCCGCAGAGCCAGGCCGGAGCAACCCGCTTCCGCCTCCCGAGCCGCGCTTCCGGCCGACGTGAGGCAGACTGCGCTTCCGGGCCGGCGGATTCGGCGCACGCGCGCACCCCTGCCAGGACCCGATCCCGTTTACCAAACGCTTAGGCTCCGCGCGCCAATTCTTGCCTGTGGTGGGCTTGCTGCGCCCAGGTCCGTCAGAGCAGCCCGGAGCAGACGTGTCACGCGCTTCACCGCGGCCGCTCGAACCTCACGATGAGTCTCTCAAGAGTGGTGGGGTCAGGGGACCCGGCTCAGTGTTCGACCACGGCGTCCTCTACCGAAGGACCCCAGACCCAGTGAGACTCTGGAGGCCCCGCCTCCCGCGCCTCTCCAACGGGAATACGGGAGGCCAGCGTCTCAACCCCATCTTACCCCAGGTTCTCGAAATACTTTGCCCCAGCTGCAGCCCCTAATTGCGACCCCGGCATCCAGAGCGGGCCACGTGCGCCCGGAGCCCAGTGCGCGCCCCGCCCCGGGGGGAGGAGCCGGCTGGCTCCCGGCCACTGGGCCCGAGCGGCGGCGGGCCGGTGCGCTCTGGCTGTCCCGGCTTCCTCTCCTCCCCGGTTCGCTCCCGCCCTCTCTTCTTCCCTCCCCTCCCCGGGCTCTTCCCGCCGTCTCTCCCAGCCTGCCTTTCCAGTCGCGCCTGGCGAGGGCCGCGCACTCGGCGGCTCGGGCCGTGGGACTGGTGAGTGTCACCCGCAGCCCAAGTCCGAAGCGCTTCTCGAGCCCGAAAGGGCGAGGAGGCCGATCTGCCCCCGGAGCGCTGAGGAACGGGGGGCATTTTCCTCTCCTTTTTCCAAAGAGCCTTTGCCTACCCTTTCTCATTTCCTTTTTGACTGTCTCGTATCTCAGCAGCAAGCTCTTGGTCCTTGCCTAGAAAAAGAAACTTTCAGGGTCCCCATTCCACCTCTCCACCTTGGTGGCAGGCGGTGGTCCGGGGTCGGGAAAAGGTTTCAGCTGGGAATCTGAGTCCCATCTCCTGCCCTTATTTTCTCACTCCTAGGGACCGGGGAAGGGGCTGCTGGCCCGGATAAGCGTCAGGGCAGCCGCGCCCTTGGCTGGGGTCACATCCACCTTCCTGGGAAGGACACACTCTCCCCGTACCAGGTGCTTCCGGAGCGGCATCCCAGCTCGAGTCCCAGCGGGCACCTCGTCCAAAGAGGGAGTCCTGGTTCCCGCTGGGAACCCGGGGGCGAGTCCAGCTGGGTTCCCGGGACCCTTACCCAGCTCTTCTCACTCGCCCTCCCACTGTCCTCCAAGCCGAGGACGAACTGGTTGGGGAGGAGGAGGAAGAGCTAGTGATCAGGTTGCCTCTTGCCCTGACTCGGAGTTTCATCTGCATGTTACCATCTCCTTTCTGCCCACAGTGGTCACACCCTTTCCAGAAATTCTTGGTTGGTAACCGCGAAGCTGGGAGAACTGGAGAAAACCGCTCTAATCTGACTTGATTCTGGCTGGGTACGGAGACTGCATCATCAAAACCAACATTTGCAAAGCGTTCTCTGAGGTACTAGCCCAATTGATCCTTACCTCAGTATTCTGAGGTGTAGGTATTAGTATTCCTTTTTGCAAACGAGTAAACGGAATAAGGCTTAGAGAGCTCTTGTGATCTGTCTTGGAGGAGTTGTGGGCTTTGATTTCTAACTCCACAACCTATTTTACTCCCCCTAATCCACTCTTTTAAAATGAGCTTCAAGTTGAGGGAGCTTTGTTCTCCTTGACTCTCTGGTTGCCCTCTCCATAGCTGTCCCTTATATAGTCATGTCCCCATATGGTCAATGTCCAAGGTGAATATGCCCAACACATTCCTGATGCTCTTCTCTGCCCTTTTTTCCAGCTTGTATGAAGTCCCTATCCCTGAAGTCTTTGACATGCTAGATATATTCAGAGCCTCAAACAAGTCTCTGCCAGGGTCAGTCCATTACAGACACCCCTCATCCTCATCCCTCCTTGCCAGGGAGGTGTAATGCCTGGGAAATTCTAAGTCTTAGGGTCTCTTAACAGGTTTTCAGAGATTGGCCTCTGTATAGCCTCACAATACCCCCTTCTCAGATTTTCCTCCTCTGAAATCTTTGCATTTTTAAAGTTGACACTGGACTGTTCTACCTGATTAGTGTCCCCAAATGGATTATCCATCCTCTGTAGTCCTTACAAGTAATAACAATATTCCCCCTCTGACTGAATTTCAAATTTATACTCCATGACATCATTGACCTTCACAACTACTCCTTGGGTGGTAGATTTTACTACCTCCATTTTCAAGATGAAGGATGAAGGTGGGCCAGGAAGGTGATCAGTGGCTTTCCTGTGAATGAGCTATGATTTTGCTCCCACACAACTGCTTTCCTAGAGCATCAAGAATTGACTTCAGCTTCCCTGGTCTATCAATTACTCGCTATACAAAAATAGGATCTTTCTGTTTACTGGAGAGGGTAGGGCATGAGACTTCTCTGTCTCCCAGTGTCTCCATCCTCCACAGCATTGATTCAGAACATATGCAGCCCCACCCCAAACCTCTGTAGTAAAACTGGCCCTGAAGAGCCTGGGGAGCCCCTGGAGGCTCTCATAAAAGTTTCCCCTGTTCCCTAATTGTCAGGGGATAGGACAGACTTTCCCTCTCTGCCCGGGCTCGCCTTGATTCTTGTTTTGGTTCCCCTTGCTTGGTGGGAGGAGCATGAGTGAGTCACCCTGAAGAAATCCTCACTCGTGTTTGGCCCTTGTCTTCTCTCTCATGTCATAGGCTCTGAGGTGACTCATCTCAGATTCCTCCAGAACTGAGCCTTTTGCTGGACCTATGTTCCAACCTGTGCCTCCATGACCAGGTGGCTAGCACTCCTCGTGCCTATGACCCAGAACCCTGGCTGACCACACTGAGGCAGGATGCTCCAACAGGTAAAACCTCACCCTTAGGTAACCTAGGCCCTGAAGCATCTAAGGCACTTCCCATCTGTCAGTTAGGTGGCTGAATGACGTTTCTACTTACCCTGACCTGGAAGGAAGGGAAAGATCCCTTAAAGGTCTTTCTTCTTCTCATTCTTGACCTAGTCACTCCGTTGCCTTTCACCTGTCATTGAGAGGCTTTTCTTGATACCTAATTTGAATCTCTCTTATTGTGGTCTTTAGCCCTTTTTTCTGGGATGAGTAAGATGGGACGGGTAAGATGGAATGGGGAGGGCTCTCCTTGGAGTACTTTGGTGACTTCACAAGCCTGAACCAAGGAGGGAGTCCTGAGAGATGTCCCTGCCAGCCTGAACTGTTGAGATACAGTGAAGGCCTGAGGCTTCCAAGAGGAGGTATTCTTTGAAGCTGAACCTTAAAGAATATGTAGGAATTAGCTAGGTGGAGAAGGGAAGTAAGCAGTCCAAGCAGAGGTGTCAGTGCAAAATGTGGGTGAAGATACCTGCATGGAAATACAGGAGTCTGATGAATGGATCATGAAGCGCATGGTGAGGGGTTGCTATTGTGGCCCTTACGCCAGGCCTCTGCCTCTCAAAAAATTCTACTGTGGCCCCAGGCCTTCAGGAGTCCAAATCACCCATCTCCTATCCGTATCATCCTTCTCATGCAGCTCTCGCTCCAAAGAGAATGCCAGTAGATAGATATTTGCTGCATTTTTATTTACAAAATGTGGCCAGGCACTGGGCTGAGGCAGATGTCTAAGGTGATACCTGCTCTCCAGAAGCTCACAGACTAGGTAAGTGCCTAAGACTTATTAGGATGACCAGGTGGAAAGCCAGCCAGCCTCAAGCCAGCCCTGGTAGACACTACTGCTTGATCATCTTCCAGACTTTTGTCTTATGAAATGAGCTTGAGACTGAGGAGAAGCTGGCAGGACAATTGTCTGCTCTGGGCTTTTTTGTGTTTAACTTTTTTTTTTTTTTCTTATTAAAAAAGCAGTAATGTTCATCATAACCATACTGGCAGCTGCTCTGTGTTGAGCCCCACCTAAGTAGTAGGTACTAGTCTAAGCATTTTACGTGAATAATTTTGTTTAGTCCTCAGGTAAGTTACAGTGTTACATGTATAGAGCTACTATATCCCCATTTTGGAGATAAAGGTCAGAGAGGTTATGTGACTTATTCAAGGTCACATTCACCATAAGCAATGTGGAAAATATAAGCACCGAGAACATTAAAATTATCTGTAAGTATACTACCCAGAGATAACATTTTAGAAAATATCCTTTTTTCCCCTAAGTATATATTTTTAAAATGTTTGAAGCTATCATACTTTTTTGTAACCTGCTTTATTCCTTTGTAAGGATATACTATAAATTGTCCACCATTAGGACATGTGAGTTGTTTTCAATTTTTTTACCATTATAGATAGCTCAATATATACTGAATATTCCTATGGCCTTTACATAGCATCATTTTCTAAAAGAATTGCAGGCTAAAGAGGTGTGTGCTTTTTAGGCCTTGATATATCATTGCCTAATTAAAGAAGAGCTGTTTTTAAAAGAATAATAATAGCTAACTTTGGATGCATATATCAGGTACCTTCTCTAAATACTTGATGTGCTTATTAGGGTCTGACGTAGGTGCTATCAGCATTCCCATTTTATAGATGAGAAAAACTGAAGCACAGAGAGCTTAATAATTTATATAACATTATGCAACTAGTAAGTGGTAGAATCAGAATTCAGATACAGAAAATCTAGCTTTAAGGTCTAGGCTCTTGACTGTTATACTCAGCTACCTAATTGGTTGGATCAGAGCTGATTTTAAAATATGGCTTGGCTTGTGATCCCCCCGGCTCCATCCCCAGAATAGAGTGATTTGCATGGTTCCAACCATGGTCTAACCTCAGCATTTATCCTGGAGGCCAAGAGCCTGCCTTTTGAATTATGGTGGACCTACATTCAGAGAACAGGCAACATCTTTAGAAAGAAACTTGTTGCTGGGCCTCTCAAATGACACTTCCCACCTTGGGAACTTCGAACTTTTCAGATTCACTAATCTCATTGAAACCTACACAGTCGTATTATGGATTCACTTCTCCAAAAGCAGATTTCAGCCGGGTACTACTTTCTTCCACTCCCCACCCCATCTTCACTGCAGTCTCCAGAGAGATAAGAGGAAAAATGAGAAATATGAAAAAAAGAAACATGTGGAAAGTGTTGGCATCAAGGATCGGAAAGGGCGAAAGAGAAACAGCCTTTTCCCCTTGGTGCCTATTCTTAACCTCATCCAACTTCCAAGTCAGGCTCCCTGTCAGGTGGACCCAGGGCAGAGGAAGCTAACTAAATAGCCAGGCTAAATTTAAGCCGAGAGAGCCAGGTGATGAAGGCATGGGGCTACCTCACAGCTAGTTTTTCATCAAATGGTAAATGTTCTCTTTCAAAAAACGCCCAAACCATGGTTCTTTCCTGGGGGAAGGGTGGTTTGTGATCCCCTATAGCAGTCCCCCACCTTGGTCCTCAGTCCTACCAGGCCCAGTAAGGCTGGTGGCTGGCAAGTCTGGAAGCTGGCACTCATTCAGAGGAGAGGGGATAGCATTTTTTCGTTTACTGAGTACACAATGTGCCAGGCACTAAGTGCTTTAGGTGTCTCTTTATTTTTCTGTCCCGTAGCCCTGCAAACTGGTTTTATTTTCCTTTATTTACAAATAAAGAAGCTGTGGCTCAGAGAAGTTAAGTAATTTAACCAGGCTCGCAGTCAGTATGTGGCAGAACTGAAATTTTAATCTAACCAGATTATGGTAGTAGAAGCCTGTTCTCTTTCTTCAGGCCCTCACCCCTATATTACTGCCAGCTGGTCTCAGTCCCAGCTTTCATAGCCCTCTTCTCATGGCTTCTCAGGTTAATGGTCACAGTTCAGGCTTTGGTGCCCAAGGTGGGGAGTCTCTCAGAGAAGACCTGCAGGAGTTCCTGAGCGGGGAAGCCCCGCTGCACCAGCTAGATGACCTCACCAAGGTGAATCCTGTGACACTGGAGACAGGTATGGGCCTCCCTCTCCTCGACAATGCCGTCTCCAAAGCAGCCCTTGGTGGTTGCCGGGCTCAGTTGGTGGAGCGTGCCGCTCTTGATCTTGGGCCTGTGGGTTTGAGCCTCGTGTTGGGTGTAGAGATTACTTAAAAATAAAATCTTAAAAAAGGTGCCGTCTCTAAGAGCGTGGAGATGATGTGGGTAGTCCGCACAGCTTTCCCTGGCCAAACCAAGGCAGGCAGGACCTCGAGCCAGATAGGCTGCTCCAGACCTCTGCCTGGCAGCTGCACACAGACTCCCCAGGGCAGACTTTGCTCCAGATTTGGGGCTCATCTTAATTAGATCTTGTACCTATTCATCAGGGAGCTGCTGGGATCTAAAGGCACTTGGCTAATTGCTAGTAGCACTGTTAGGCCAGTGTTTGTGTGGGCAGTTGTGTCTATATTTGAGCCAGAGTTTGCTAAAGGTGCCTCTGCCTCAGTCTTGAGGTGTTTGCAGGCTCGGTACGCAGCAGACACGTTCTACACCAATGCTGGCTGCACCCTGGTCGCTCTGAACCCCTTCAAGCCCGTCCCTCAGCTCTACTCACCAGCACTGATGAGAGAGTACCACGCTGCTCCTCAGCCCCAGGTAAGACTCAGCCACATCCTGGGCCTCAGGGTTCCGCCATATCCCCTAGGCCTCCTTGCAGCTTCCCCATCATTACCCATCTATTCACCAGCCATGCGGTCATTCAGAGTCTGCTGGTGCCACGGCCCTGCCCACCAAGGGATTGAAGAATTCTGGATACAGGACAGGTGCAAAATGAGATATAAATAAATATTTGTTTAACTGAGTTTGGAACCTAAAATAAAAAGATAGGATAACGGATTTTTTTTTTTCTCGTTTGTGATGTTGTTAATAGGGACGGATTTATGAAGGTATATTTGTGTATTTAATGAACCTTTTTTGGGGGGGAGAATAAAATTATGTATAATAAGGAGGGCCCTAGAAAATTCAGCACTTGTTCCTCTCCTCCAAGAGGAATGAGAGGAATAACTTCTGGTGGGGTTGGAGTCGGAGCAGGCAGCAAATAAGCTAGCTGGTGTTTAAGTGCATGATGTCCTCAGAGAGAGGGAAGAGCAAACTTGCTGGCAGGAAGGGTGCTGTCAGGGAGAGAGACAGCAGATGAGATGGAAGATGAGACAATCCAGGGCTGCTGGCAAAGGGTCTGAGGCAGCACAGCAGGTGGAATATATCCACGGTGCTGCTCCCCCAGGGGTGGAGGGACTGACTGGAGCCCACCATGGGGATAATTACTCTGGAAGCTGGGGGAGTCAAGTTCAGAAAGGTGAAACAAGACAGAGGGAGAACAGGGGCACCTGGGTGGCTCAGTGGGTTAAAGCCTCTGCCTTTGGCTCAGGTCATGATCCCAGGGTCCTGGGATCCAGCCCTGCATCGGGCTCTCTGCTCAGCGGGGAGCTTGCTTCCTCCTCTCTCTCTGCCTGACTCTCTGCCTACTTGTGATCTCTGTCCATCCAATAAATAAGTAAAATCTTCAAAAAGAAAAAAAAAAAGATATAGGGAGAACAGTTGGAGGCTTTTAACAGTTCAGGGAAGAGGAGGCTGGGGCAGAGGCAGGTGCAGAGAGGGAAGGCTCTGTCACTATCCACAGCAGTGCCTTCTCTCCAGGAATCTGTGGGTAGATGATGATTGCTGGGTGGGCCATGCTGGGCTGGCTAGGCATTGTGCAGATGGCCTGGCCCCCCAGAAGCTCATGCATGGTTAAGTGTCTAAGTCTTCCCTGAGAGCCCATATCTCACTGAGAGCCTCTTCAAAGGCAAAAGCCATGTCATGGTTTCCTGTTTCCCCAGTGCCCAGTTTAATGCCTAGCACATTGAGGATAATTAGTATTTGTAGATGGAAAGAAGAATAGTGGCCTTGAAATTCAAGACACATGGTTACAATTACTTGCTGAGTGGCCTTGGGAAGGTTATTTAACACCTCCAAACCTCGGATTTCTCGTCCATAAAATAGGATTAGCTATCCAACTAATGGATAGGTTTTTTAGGCAGTAACTTGTAGGAAAGTTCTTTGCATGCTGTAGAGTACAGTAACATAAAATAATAAGCAGCAGAATAAAACTAAAGGTAAGATAAAATGGGAGGACGAAGTGTTAAGGTTATAGACTGGTCAAGGCCAGCGCTGCTTCCATACTAAGAGAAGGTGAGTGGATACAGCCATCGTAGGGGTCCCACAGTTGGGTCAAACACTGTTATATCCAAGAGATTTTTCTAGAGGAAACCTCCTGGCGCTGCTGTTGGCAGCCTCCCCTCTCAGCCGTCATTTGATCAACCACTCCTTGGAGACAGGCGTTCCCTTATGTGACCTCTCCCCCCTTGATGTTTTAGAAACTGAAGCCCCACATCTTCACTGTGGGTGAACAGACCTACAGGAATGTCAAGAGCCTGATTGAGCCAGTCAACCAATCTATCATTGTCAGCGGAGAGAGTGGTGCTGGAAAGGTAGGAGGGCCTCTTTCTTACCCTGTCAACTTTTTGACTGGTGGGGTGGGCAGAGAAGAAGGAGGTCATTCCTTGTGGAGTCGTTTGCTGCCTAGTCATTCCCAGATAGGCTGACTAAAGCAGGGACTCAGCATGCAGTGGTAAGCAAGCGCTGGGCAGGAAGTCAAGACACAGCGTTTTAGTCCAGGCTCTTCCACGTAACCCTGGGTGAGATACTTTTTCTCTCAGTCTTCATTTTTCTCCTCAAAGGTCTGAGCTCTGACACCACTGGAAACAAAAGTCAGCTGTTGGGGATTCCAGAATATGGTTAAGAGGTTCTGCAAACCTCAGTTCTTTGATTTGTAACATGACAGGGATAGAACCAACTTGAAAATCATGGGACTCCTACGAGAGTTAAATGGACCAGTGCACATAGGCACTTGGTGGCACACTTGGCATGTGGCAGCACTCTAGAAGTACCTGGGGTTACTGGTGGGAAAAGGTTTAATGGAGTAGTCCACCCACTACATGGGTTGGCCATGATGGCAAGGACAGTGCATTGGGCCGGCTGTGGGGAAGGACAGAATCATTTGATGCAGTCATGTGGCTCCCTGGGTGCCCAAACCACAACAGGTGAGACAGAATGCTACACAGGGCTGGTTCAGGAGTTGCACAGCTGGTCAGAGGAGGCCACCAGGCCAGGCCTCACCACCTTTTTGCCAAGGCTTACCCAGCCACCTTACCCTTTCCACAACGCTTTTACCATCACAAGGGATTTTTTAGATCATAAACTCTCACATAAATGTGAGAGGATTGCTGAGCACTGAGCACCTGCCAGCTTCTAGGCCGTGGGCTAGCCACTAAAGAGTGGCAGAGGAAGGAACAGAGATGAAAAATGCAACATACGGCTTCCAGGGGGCTCTTAGTTCACTGGGAAAGACAAGGAAACAGGTGAAAATAGTAAGCTGCAGGGATAACAGCTTGGACTTGGGTGTGGAGAAGATCTTCAAGAGCTCTTTCAAAGTGGCCAGTGCAGTGGCTCATACCCAGCTCGTAGAGGAAGCCCATCGTCCTCCAGAATTGCTCTGGGGAGCAGAGGCGGACCTGGCCTGAAACCCATGCCACCGGAGCTCAGTAACTTTATTGACCAGCCGCTATGGTCTTTTGCTGGGTCTGTATTTTTTTTTTTAAGCTCATTTTTAATAAGTAGTAGCATAATTACATAGTTCAAAAATCAAGCAATACCGCAAGGCTTACAAAGAAAAACAGTAGGGGCACCTGGGTGGCTCAGTGGGTTAAGCCTCTGCCTTCGGCCCAGGTCATGATCTCAGGGTCCTGGGATCAAGCCCTGAATCAGGCTTTCTGCTCAACACGGAGCCTGCTTTCCCCCTCTCTCTGCCTGTTGCTCTGCCTACTTGTGATCTCTCTCTCTGTCAAATAAAAATTAAAAAAAACAAAACAAAATAGCAGCCCTACCCATATTTACAAAGACTATCGCTCTCTTCCAGAGGCAACAACTTTCATATCTTCTAGCAGTTTATTTGGGCATTTGCGTCAGTATTTCTTTTTTTTTTTTTTCTTTTTTTTTTAAGATTTTATTTATTTATTTGACACAGAGAGAGATCACAAGTAGGCAGAGAGGCAGTCTGAGAGAGAGGGGAAGTGGGCTCCCCACTGAGCAGAGAGCCTGATGTGGGGCTCCATCCCAGGACCCTGAGATCATGACCTGAGCCAAAGGCAGAGGCTTACCCCACTGAGCCACCCAGGCACCCTGCATCCATATTTCTAAACAACATCCTTTTATTAAGTTTTCAGTTTTTTAGCTTATCGTTCATTTTCAGGTATGATGAGGATTTAGCCCTATTTCTCTGCCCCCAGATACATAAATGTCATGATTTCTAGTTAATATGCAGTATTACAGCCATGTATATATTGCTCATAGCAAAGCAGTATAATAAACTATCCTTTCTTGTATAATTTTACTTTCCCTCTACTTCATAATTGCCCTGTTTTTTCACTTGTTTAGTTTCTGTATACGTATTATTAAGTTATTACTAAACCTATCACCAAAGCTGCATAACACCTGTCCACTGGCCAAAATATCAGATCCTTTTTTTTTCTTGGTGATGTTCTTCCCAGAGCTCCCAGATCTCTGGCTCCCACCTGTACTGGTGGCTGTCAGTGGCTGTTGCCACAAAGTTATTACTTGGGAGCTTCTCTGCCTCACTCCGGGATCCCCCAATTGCCCTTTGTCTATGACAAACCCCCTGCCCCCCAAAAAACTGTTGCTGGAGCCCATGGCTTCAGCTTCTTAACGGCCTTGTTTTTATGGAGCACGTTCTTTAGTAGCTTCTTGGAAAAGGTACATTTGGGCAGATTTTTGAGTTGTTGCACCTCTGAAAATGTTTATTTTGCCTCAAATTTTATATGTTGGCTGGATTTTATAATTCCAGGTTGGAGACCATTTTCTTTCCAAATTTATAAGGTTTTTTTTCCTTCTCTGTTTTTTGAGTGTTGTGATTGAGAGTCCCGATCCATAATGGTGATTTGTGTTTTGTTTTGTTTTGTTTTTCAAAAGCTTTTATAGTCTTAATTATTATTCATAGGTATTAAAACTCACAGTGCTGTGTCTTGGTATGGTTGTTTTGTTTTGTTTCATTTGCTGAGCTGGATATTTTGTGTGGATTTTTTTAACCTGTTCTTTTGTTGGGGGAAATTTGTATTACAGCTAATAATTTAATAATTTCCTCCCTTCTGTTTTCTCTTTTTGTATCTCCTGTTAGAAAGAAGTTTGATTAATTATCTAATATTCTTATTTTTCTCACTTATTCTTCTGTCTTTTAATATTTTTGTTTTACCTTCTGGGAGATAATTCTCTACCTTCCAATTTTTTGGATTTTTGTTATAAAAGGTTAATTCTGAGAGTTCTCTCTTGTTCTCTGAATATTATTCCCTACTGCCCCACCATCCTGGTCTTATTTCACAGATCAGTTTTTGTTTTTTTTTTTAAGATTTTATTTATTTATTTGACCGAGATCACAAGTAGGCAGACAGGCAGGCAGAGAGAGAGGGGGGTAAGCAGGCTTCCTGCCGAGCAGAGAACTGGATGCAGGGCTCGATCCCAGGACCCTGAGACCATGACCCGAGCCGAAGGCAGAGGCTTAACCCACTGAGCCACTCAGGCGCCCCAAGTTTTTTTTTTTTTTTTTTTTAATTTATTTGACACAGAGAGAGATCACAGGTAGGCAGAGAGGCAGGCAGAGAGAGGGGGAGAAACAGGCTCCGTGCTGAGCAGAGAGCCTGATGCAGGGCTCAATCCCAGGACCCTGAGATCATAACCTGAGCCGAAGGCAGAGGCTTAACCCTCTGAGCCACCCAGGTACCCCTCAGTATCTTATTTTTGAGCATACTTCATGATTTTGTGTTCTGCTCCTTGCATTGACTTTGTTTCCTTCTAGTTCCTTTACCTTCATTTGTTGTGATATTTGTCATTTGTATAAAAGAGGTTTATCAAATAGTTGATGATCACTAAGTTTCTGTTCATATTTAAGAATAACGCATTAAATGCTTCATTAAGCAACTGATTAGAATCTTCATGTTTATAGATAGGATTGTCAACCAGGGAGCCTCACTGTAGGTAGCTTTTGAAACCTGTGGGACCCTGAATGTCCACAACTTTTCTCATAAGCTTGTCAGGCTCCAGAAAAGATTCTTTAGCAGAGATATGGAAACTATAAAGAGTTAAATGAAAACGATAAAAAGTAAAAGTATAATGAATAATTGTTTCATGCTTATCAACAGACCAGACTTGCAGATGAATACATCAGTGAATTTGAGAGTAAATCAATAGAAATAATTCAAATTGAGAAACAGAGAGAAGCACATCTGAGAGCTGTGGTACGGTAGCCCATGGTCTACCATAGTTGTTCTTGGTGTACCAGGAGAAAGAAAACACATGGGTCAGAGGTTATACCTTACACAATGAACAAAAGATGACAAGCACAGATCCAAGAAGTTCAAAAAGCAAAAGCAGATGAATACAAAGAAAACAAATTGCTGGAAACCAAACATAAGGAGCAAACTTTTATGGGAACCAGAAAAAAAGAAATATTATGGAAAGAGGAATAAAAATAAGAGTGACAATGGGCATCTTTCAAAAACTGCAAGCCCAGGGATGCCCGGGTGGCACAGTCAGTTGAGCATCTGACTCTTGGTTCCAGTACAGGTCATGATGTCAGGGTGGTGGGATCAAGCCCTGTGTCGGGCTCCACACTCAGCACAGAATCTGCTTCAAATTCTCTTTCCTTCCCTCTGCCCATCCTGCTCATGCTCTCTCTCACTCTCTTGCTCAAAAAATAAGTCAGTCAATCTTTAAAACAAAAACAAACAAGCAAAAAAACTGCAGGCCCAAAGGTAGTAGCAACATCTTTAAAGTGCGGAAAGAAAAAAGTGCTGAAAGAAAATATCTGTTGGGGAACCTGGCTGGCTCAGTTAGTAGACCATGCGACTCTTGATCTCAGGGTAATGAGTTTGAGCCCCACATTGGGCATATAGAGATTACTTAATAAATAAGAAAGTTGGGGTTGGGATTTTTTTTTTTTTTTTAAGAAAAAATATCTGTCAACCTAGAATTCTGTTACGAGGAAAAATACCAAAATATCTTAAAAAATGTAAAACAAGGGATGCCCGGCTGGCTTGTCAGTGGAGCATACAACTCTTGATCTCAGAGTTGTGAGTTCAAGCCCCACGCTGAGCTTTACTTTAAAATATTTTACTTTAAAATTTTACTTTAAGATTACTTTAAAAAAAATTTTAAAAATTTTTAAAAAATGGAAATGAAATAAAGACGTTCAGACAAAAGTTGAAGGAATTCATTGCCAATAGGCCTATACTACAAGAAACATTAAAGTTCTTTAGGCCAAAGGAATATGAAACCATGTGAATATTTGGATTGATACAAAGGAGTAAAGAGCATTGGGGATGTGATATTTTTTATCTCTAAAAGAGAACTCATTTTGGGGGGGCCTGGGTGGCTCAGTTAGGCATCTGACTCTCAGTTTCAGCTCAGGTTGTGATCTCAAAGGTTGTGAGATTGAGCCCTGCATCAGGCTCCCTGCTCAGCAGAGCCTGCTTCTCCCTCTCCGGGTCCCCTCTGCTGTGTTCACTCTCTCGCCGTCTCCTTCTGTGAAATAAATAAAATCATTAAAAGGAAAAAAAGAAAATGTGCAGAAAGCATCCATATTAGCTCAGTGCCTGTCATAGAATGGTCAGTTTTAGCTGTGAGCCCTCAGAGACACTAAGTAGCCTGCCCAGGTCAAGGTCGGTTGTCCCTTCTCCTGGCTTCCTTCGTTTCTTAAAGGTGTCCTCTGGAACTAGGAGCAGCAGAAGTGAGCAACCCCCCATTTCACAGATGGGGGAATTGCCTTGCCCAAGGACACAGTTGAATTCAGCATTCCCCCATTTGGTCAGCACCGTGCCCGATGGAGAAGAGGGCTCTGGTGGGCCCCATATCCTGAGGTACAGTGGGAGGGACGTGGACACGGCTCCCACGGGGTTGTTTCTGCCACAGACATGGACGTCCCGCTGCCTGATGAAGTTCTACGCTGTGGTGGCTGCCTCACCCACATCCCAGGAGAGCCACAAGATTGCAGAGCGGATTGAACAGCGAATCTTGAACTCCAACCCTGTCATGGAAGCTTTTGGTGAGCTTGGTGTCCTCTGCATAGTACCTTGATTCTATTTCCCCTGGGATTTGCCACCTCCCAAGGAGAGGGGTAGTGCTTTGAGTCCGTCTCTGGGAGTTGGAGGATGAGAGTATCACTAACTGCCTTGGACCCGCAACCTCCCAGGTGCCCTTGGGCTCCTTCCGTTAGAGTCACCCCCTCCTCTGGCCTAGGCAGATGTAACAGTGTGCCAGAGAGGACCTTGTGGCTCACCTTGTTCAAATCCTGTTCTTACGTATGGTTTCCTGAGGGTTCAGAGAAGGGGACTTGTCTAAGAGTGCTCATCAGTGAGTGTCCATGTTGTGACTTGAGCCTAGGTGCGTCTGGCTGGGCCCACAGCTGTCCCGAGGCAGAGCGGAGAGAAGTCTGTTGTACCTAGATGTTGTCTAACTCAATAGTGACAGCTTGTTGGTTTTGGCCCTTTCCCTTCAAAGAATACAGTCCCTGACCACCTAGGCTTGCTCATTCCAGTTCGTTGCCAAGAAGCTCTAACCCTCCTGAAACACATTTGCTGAAGCCCAAGTGCCCATTCCCTAGTCCTGTCCCCTGTGACACGGAAACCCATAAAGGGGCTGTTAGGTGACTTGAGGATAGGGACGTGCCCTCATCCCGGCCCACGAGAACCCGGTCACACCGGGGGAGTGGTATGAACCTAGGTGTGATCTGTAGGGAATGCGTGCACCCTGAGGAATAACAACAGCAGTCGCTTTGGGAAGTTCATCCAGCTCCAGCTAAACAGGTAATGGCTGCTGCCACTCTGGCTGAGGGGAGGACGGGGATGGGGAGTCTGAAAGTGGCTAGGGCAGCTTCCAGCCTGGGCTGCTCCTCTGGGCAGAACCCTGCCCCTCCTGGCATGTAATGTTTGTGGAATAAATGAACCTGAGGGTGATCTTTGAACCTGGAGAATTCTAGCTACTCTAGCCTCTAAAAGACACTGAGGCAGTGTGCTTATCATGGCCCATGAGTTCCTCCTGGCTTCTACCCTGGTTCAGGGGCTTCCAGTTAAACCACCACCTCTCTGGATTGCACCCCTGAGCTTGAAGCAGGGGTTTCTGTTCCTGCCTTGAGTTGGGACAAAATGGTATATAGAGGTCTTGGCCCTGTCCACCTGAGCTGGTCACCGGGGAATGTTCTAAACGACCCAAGGACCTGCCAGGTGGTCCCTAGTGCTCAAGACCCACTTTGACTAGGTGGAAGAGCTTTGGGGGGAGTGGCTATGTTGCATTCTGGCAGACAGTAAGTCCTTAGTAAATGCCTACCTGCTTGTGCCCAGGGCCCAGCAGATGACCGGAGCTGTAGTCCAGACATACCTCCTGGAGAAAACACGAGTGGCCTGTCAGGCGTCTAGTGAGAGGAACTTCCACATCTTCTACCAGGTTTGTGTCCAGCTGGGCCTACAGCTGCCCAGATGTAGGGTAGAGATGGGTCTGAGTTTCCGAGCCCTCTTCTCTGTCCCCCAGGCCGCAGGCCTGACCCACCGCTTTCAGTGATGCCGCCACTTATTCCTGCAGACTTTCTGTGACTCTTCTGCCTCACGCTGGACCTTGGCTCCCAGAATGGTTTTGACCTGGAGATGCATTTGCTTTCTCTATCAGACCAAAAGGTCCTTGACACTGGGACTGTGTCCCCCTCATCAGACCAAGGACTCTTAGAATGGCATCTGTCTCCAGCAGAGTGAGAGCTTCCCTAGAGCTGTGTCTGATGTGTCTCCCATCAGACTTGGGATACCCCAGAGCCTGGATAGGATGTCTCCTGCTCATATGGACCTGGGGCTCCCCAGACAGGAGTCGTGCTTCCTTCATCAGACCACAGGCCTCCTCAGGAGGCTGTTTTTGCATTGGGTTGGAGACATTCAGAACTGTTGCTGCGACTTTTGTCCCTGGGCCTGTCCTGGGCTCTATGCCTTGGCTCTCTCCCCTCTCAGCCTTGTGATATCAAAGCATTTCTCCTCTCACAAACCCCAGGCTTATGCAGGCCTGGCTTCCTCACACCCTCACCTCGGCCGCCCGCCCACCCCTCCCCACAGATCTGTAAAGGAGCCAGCATGGACGAGAGGCTCCAGTGGCACCTTCCCGAGGGAGCAGCCTTCTTTTGGCTGCCCAACCCAGAGAGGACCTTGGAAGGTAGGGGGAGCCTTGTCCAGCACCCTGGACTGGCCCATCAGTACCCACTCACCCTCTGCACAGGGCCTGCCTTCACCCCTCGATGCCCCTGCTGACCTCTGGTCCTGACCCTGGGCTGTGACTTGGATTCCTTTTCAGAGGATTGTTTCGAGGTGACCAGAGAGGCCATGCTTCATTTGGGCATCGACACCCCTGCTCAGAACAACATCTTTCAGGTTAGAAGAAAAGGCACATCTCTTATGTTTGGCAGAGGTGATGAATGGGCAGCCCCTTTCATGGGTCCCTTCTCTGAACTCTGAAGATCTAGGACTTGAAGCCCCACTGTGCAGCCTCTAAGGAGTCAGTTACCCTCTGTGCTACTGAGCCTAGACGGGGTGTCAGGATGGATAGGGCATAGGGGACAATGATTGAGTGCACAGGTGCGGTGGTTAAAACCTAACACAGTGGTTGGGGGCTCAGCAGGGGGAGGGGGAGGTGCCTAGGTCAGTTACTACTGCAGTGATCAGAATACAGAATAGAGAACTAACGCTTTTACAGCTTCATCTAAAGTATTCAGACCTTAAAATCATGTTCATACCTCTTAGTCCACTTGGTTTTTTCAGTAGTCCTACACATATGGAGATTATTCCCATTTTTATGCTTGAAAAGACTAGAGAAGTAAAGTGACCTCCCTAGCCCTAGGTCAGACATCACTGACGGTTTGTATCAGGTATAGATATTCCGACTTCCCACTTTTCCCTCCTCTCAGAGTGTTGACCCAGGTGAGCTGGGCCCACCAGTGGCCTCCCTTCTCACCCTCCCAGAGCACCAGGGGGTTATATAGGGTGGGTTGGCAGCAGCCACAGGGAAGCCTATGTGGGGAGATGGTGGTGCACTGGGAAATGACCTCTGCCTCTGGATGGGGGCTGCTCAGGCAGGAGGGGGTCGTGGCCTGTATATGCACTCTAGGGCTAGAGTTTGGCCAGAGGGAAAGTGGACAGCAAGTGGACAACAGTTGGGTTCTGGATAACAGTGTTGGCCTTGCAGTATCCTGACGCTCTGTCCACTGGGCATGGTAGTCTTCTCCGAAGGTAGGCTGTGACCTCAACTCTAGTAGCATGTAGAGACACCCTGCCTGGAACCAGACAGGGATGGTAGGGGAGGTCCTATTCCCCCAATAAGGGTCTGAGAGTTTTCAAGTTGCTGGACTTGAGTCTCTTCTCTGTAGCCCCTGGGGACTCATCCGTGTGGATCAGTGAGTGCACAGTACGAGTGCACAGTCCGCTGTACAGTGTGGACTGGGACAGAGAGCCCGCTACACAGTCCCAGATTCCACCCCAGGCTGAGCTGTCAGAAACCTCACAGTGCTGAGAAAAGGCCAGAGGGAGCCAGGACCAAACCCCCACTGGCCACACAGCAGTGAGCCTGGCACCCAGGTAACAGTGGTGTTGTCATAGCCTGCCGCTAGAGAAGGGGAGGCACAGGGACAGGCAGTGGGTGACTTAGGAGCTCTACTGGCTGCCCTGGGAGGCATCTGAAGTCAGACTGCCTGGGTTCTCATCCTTCTTTCGTCTTTTACTAAGTCTGTGGCCTGTAGGCTTGTGATTTGAAGATTTTATTTTATTTGAAGATTTTATTTTATTTTTAAGTTTTGTTTTTTTTAAGATTATTTATTTATTTATTTGATAGAGATCACAAGTAGTCAGAGAGGCAGGCAGAGAGAGAGAGAGAGAGGAGGAAGCAGGCTCCCTGCCGGGCAGAGAGCCCGACGCGGGGCTCGATCCCAGGACCCTGAGATCATGACCTGAGCCGAAGGCAGAGGCTTTAACCCACTAAGCCACCCAGGCGCCCCTTTATTTTATTTTTTTAAGTAATCTCTACACCCAACGTGGGACTTGAACTCATGATCCCAAGATTGAGAGTCACACACTCCTCTGAGCCAGCCAGGACCCCTGTGTGATTGAACTTCTCCCTCTGTCACCTCTGTCATGGGCATCATCACAGCACGTTGCTCACTGGTAGTTGACAGGACTAAACAAGGTGATGCCTGTAACTCTTACAGAATTGTGCCGGCAGGGTCCCTTCTCAGGGGGCATCAGTTAGGAGGTTCTCTTCTTATCCTGGTACTGTTCAGCAGGAGACGGGCCCTTCCTGGGCGAGGCTCCAGCCCCGGAGAAAGAGCTCACAATGTGTCCTCTCCTGCCCGCTCAGGTCCTGGCCGGACTGCTGCACCTCGGCAACGTCCGCTTTGCCCACTCTGAGGACGAAGCCCAGCCCTGCCACCTGACGGGCGATGCCAAGTGTGAGAACAGGGTGGGGCCTGGGGCTCAGGCTGCGGTCACAGCACCAGGGAGCAGGGCCTGCCCTGTCTGGAAACGGGCCAGCATGGGTGGGACTGGGCGGGGAGGCCTGAGGGGGGAATTTGGAAGGTGATGCTCTTGAAACTGTGGATGTTAGTCCTCGCCCCATCTCTGGGAAGACAGCATCGTCCCTATCTTACAGATGAGAAAAAAGAGGGTTTATAAAGTGATTTGTCCCACATGAGGCAGTGCGGACTGAGACCGAGAATCCTGGGTTCAAGTCATGTCTCTGCCTTAGGCAAGTCCCACTCACCTGAACCTAGGTTTATTCTGTCCGGTTGGGTGGGTCATAGTTCCACTGTGACGACTTCCACGTGGTCTTGTGAGAAGGGCTGTTTGGATGGAGGGTGATGTGTCCCTCTCAGGCTCTCTCAGGACATCAGCCTTGCTGCTGCAGCTTCCAGAAGACCCGCTGCTGGAGACGCTGCGGATCAGAACCATCAGGGCAGGCAGGCAGCAGCAGGTGTTCCAGAAACCCTGCTCCCGAGCCGAATGCGACACCCGCAGAGACTGTGTGGCCAAACTAGTCTATGCACGGTGAGCAATCAGGCCCTGCCCTCATATCACGTTCTCTGCCTATCTAGAGCTGGACCAGGCACCCTCAGGCAGTATGCCTACGCCCCTGGTGAAGGCTTCTAGATAAATCAGACACATTCTTCTCGCTGCTTTCCAGACCCTTCCCAGATCCTTGGGACAGCAGGGAGTGCCTCCTGGGTTTTCCCTGAGCAAGGCCTTTGACCTTAATTCCAGAGTCCTCTGCCTGGGGAAGTTGCCACAGTCTGGGTGAGATTCAGCTCATTATGAAAGCATAGGAGCCTGCCTTGCCCTTGGCTGTGGGTGAGGAAAGCCTGCCTGACTCTGCTGGCAGAGCGGGCCTGGAGGGCAGTCTGGGGCTGTCACAGTTCCAGGCTTAGACTTCTGGGTGAATCGGCTCCTCTGTCTCCATGTGCCCTCGTACTTCATGTCTTTATGTTACCTGGGGATAATGATAGATGATGGAGGCAGAGTGTGGCCCACTATCTCGCACAGCATAGAGTGTCGCAAGTGCGAGCCCAGAACATGGTGAAGGTGGGGTCCTGGCCTTTCCCTGGTCGGTTATTTGGGCATCTCCACCCTCTGGCCATGTGGTTAAGGTTGATTTCTCACCCTGGCTTCTGAGAACCTTCAGGATACCAAGTAAAGGTATCAAGGGCTCAAAATCCTCCAAAACTATGGGACCGAGTGTATGCATGTGCTTATGGGAACTCGGGCCCTGGGGATAGAGGGTCCCCCTGCTTTTGTGAACTTCCCAAGAGGCATTACTGGGGGAATAAGATCCACTGAGATGAAAATGGCCTGCTGCATCTAGGCTCAGGCTGACCCCAGTTCAGCAAGAGACTTCATTCCCACTGCCCCAAAGCTGATTTCAAGCCAAAGACTTTTAAAGCCTTTGTGTCAAGTCACTGCAAAATGAGCAGATAAGATAAATATGACGACCACAGACAGAGTGAGCCTGTGTGAAATAGAACATTTCATACAGGTTTACTGTATTATCAGGTCATTTGTGTCTAGTACCTCAGATGGGTAGTTGAATCCCCTGTGGCAAAAACAGAAACCAGAGCCTGATTGCAGTAAGTTGCAGAGCAGTCACTTTAAGAAAAACTATAAGAAAGAGGCCCCTTAATAGTACCGTACATAGTGCTGAATGTGTCCCCAGGACAGCGACTGCCTTGTCTTCTTGGGGGTAGGGAGCAATGGTCCAGAGTACAGGATGCCACCTTGGGCCACTGTGGGATTGAGTCTGGGGATGTGGCAGGGTCTCAAGCTCTAGGCACTATAGGTCTAGTTTTGCAGGGGAGTCTAATGAACTTGGTTCTTTGCAAGCCTAATGCAGGCCTGCCCATCAGTTCCTTCCCTTCTAATCAAGACACCAGCTGAGTGTCTGGCCAAGTGACTGATGGGAGATGCACTCCCCATCTAGCCGCAGGGTCTCGTCCTTTGTTCAGCGTGCTGGCAGGACAAGACAAATTTCTGTCTTGTCAGGGGACAGGCACGACTATGTTTGACCCTTTGGCCTGCCAGGTTTGGGATACGGGCCCTTCGGAGCATGGCACCTTGGCTGGAGGAGAAGTGCTGCTGCCCCTCAGGCTCACCTGACCTCTCACCGGAGTCCTCTCTCCCTCCATCCCCATCCCAACAGGCTGTTTGACTGGCTGGTGTCCGTGATCAATAGCAGCATCTGTGCAGACCCTGCCTCCTGGACCACTTTCATAGGTAGCAGGGGCTCACCTTTCTGGGAGCACTCCTTCAAAAAAAGAACCATAGTGTCCGCTGTGCGACTCCGGGCAGCTCTCTGTTCCCTTCTCTGCACCCCCTTGTCCTCAGCCACCAATGTCTGGGCAAGATGGCTCGTGTTCTCGGTGTCCACATCTGACCCGTCGGTAGCTCTCCAGGCAGACTCGGATGGTGTCTTGTCTGTGAGGGTCCCTCTTCCCCTGAGACCCTGGTCCAGCCTCAGGAAAGCAGTGGGGGGAGAGGCAAGATAGCTAGATTAGAGGGATTTGGGGGACATGCCAGCATGGTTGGAACTGGGTGGAAAAGTCAGGGAGGGGAGGAAGTCAAGCTCAAAGATGGGAAGTTTGCTCAAGGGACAGTGGCATTTTAGATACCAGCTGGGCTGGTGAGATTAAGGCCCTCCAAATTGGATTGGACACAGAAAATGTTCTCTAGGCCGCCCCTCAATCCGCATTCAGCCTTTCTTCCTGCTCTGAATTCTGAGGGGCCATGAAGTGGAGATGGGCCCCACCCCAAGGTGGGGTGTCTGCTGTGCCCACTGCCGGGTGTCATGCTCATTCAACTCCATCTCCAGGCTGCCAAGCGTGCACCTTTGCCCCGGGCTCCCACAGTCCCCCCAGTACTCCTCCTGCCTGGGCAGCAACCCCATGGGCTCTCCCCCATCCTCTCAGGCCTGCTGGATGTGTACGGGTTTGAGTCCTTTCCCAACAACAGCCTGGAACAGTTGTGCATCAACTATGCCAATGAGAAGCTGCAGCAGCACTTTGTGGCTCACTACCTGAGGGCCCAACAGGTGAGGGGTGGAGAGCTTCTTCCGGGAGCTTACCAGGAGCCTTTCGTTCCTTCTTTGATGCCATTCTGGAATATGCTCTGGTATGGAGGCCAGCCATGGATGAGCCATCTCGGCCTCAGATCACATTTGCCTTCTCCTGCCATCTTTATTCCCTAGGAGGAATATGCAGTCGAGGGCCTGGAGTGGTCATTTGTCAACTACCAGGACAACCAGACCTGCTTGGATCTCATCGAGGGGAGTCCCATCAGCATCTGTTCCCTCATAAACGAGGTGGGGTCAGCTAGTTTGCTGAGCACCAGAGTGGGGCCTTTCTGGGGCCTTGGAGACTATACTGTGCCCCTGTGCCTCTGTCTTCCCATCTGCCAAATGGGTTTGCTAATCCCTATGTTCCTTCCCTCTCAGTGTCACTGTGATGCCTCTGTGACAACTCTGCAGTTGGGGGGTGCCACAGGGCATGAGGACTGTGAGGGTTGTGGTGAGCCCATCTCGTGTTTGTGGCTGACTACCCATCCCATCCCACGTAGGAATGCCGCCTGAATCGGCCAAGTAGTGCAGCCCAGCTCCAGACCCGCATCGAGAGTGCACTGGCAGGCAGCCCCCGCCTGGGCCACAACAAGCTCAGCCGGGAGCCCAGCTTCATCGTGCTGCATTACGCGGGGCCCGTGCAGTACCACACTGCAGGCCTGGTGGAGAAGAACAAGGTGAGGCCAGGCCATGGCTTGGGGAGACCTGCATGAAATGAGGTGTTGAGTTACTGCTGCACATAGATGGACGTTTCCGGTCATGCACTCTCTCTCCTGAACATCCTTACCAGAATCCAAAGTCACTTCTTAGGCTTACCTGCCTGAGGCCCCTCAGGCATGAGGGATGAGCTGCCCCGAAATGACTCCTGTCACAGTGGGGCTCCCATGAAGCCATCTTCTGGGGCCTGGTGAGCAGGACTGGCGCACCAGATGGGTGCATGCCACTTTCCCTTACCTGCTGCCCTTATCCTTTTTCAATAGGACCCTGTCCCCCCTGAGCTGACCAGGCTCCTACAGCAATCCCAGGACCCCCTACTCAAGGTGCTGTTTCCTACTGACCCCGAAGAAAAGGCCCAGGAGGAGCCCTCTGGCCAGAGCAGAGCCCCTGTGTTGACTGTGGTGTCCAAGTTCAAGGTGGGTCTGGGGGTGCTAATATGTGCCTGGTTCACTCATCAATCTCATATATTTACCAAGCACCTCCCAGGGTTGGTACTGTGTGCTGGGGAGCACTGACGAGTCACAGAAACATGATCCCATCCACATGGAGTTGGTAGCCTCACAGGGAAGATCGAGATGGGAAACTGACAAAGAGACATAAAATTGACATGATTGAAAGCCTAGGATCTTGTGGGTGGCACAATGAGGGCCTCTCACCCACTGCTGATAGGGTGGTCATGGACAAGCAATAGTTCCTTGAACTTCTGTGCCCCATTCCTTCCCAGTTCTCTAGCGTCCTGGTCCAGCTGTCCTTGGCTAGCAGACTGGCCATCTCCTCTAGCACCTTTTGCTTTCTGCCCCCTCTCAGCCCTTGCACATTCTGCTCCCCCTTCCTGGGACGCCTGTTCCCCTGCCCCTGCCATTGCCCCCAGACTCCCACTCTCCATACCCCTTGCCCTAGTTGATTCCTTCTCCTCCTTCAAACCTCAGCTTGATCATCACCTCCTAGAGGAAGCACCTTGTGGAGCCCAGATTTTGTTGGGACTTTCCTGCCTAGCCTCAAACACGCCACTGAGGGGGGCCCACCCCATGTCTCTGTGTCCCATCAGACTCTGGGTTCTGAGCCCCAGACTGACCATGTCATTACCCCAGCACAGGTCCCCCGGCACACAGGATAGGCTTCATGAGAGCAACTGTTGCCTGAATGAGTGGCAGTGGCTTCTGAGATGGTGCTCTTCTAGGAAGATTGCACTGGTAAGGGTGGGGGGAGAGGAGCAGAGACCAGCCAGGTGTAAGATCGTAGGTCAGGAAGATCCCTGGAGGCAGGGGGTGCGGAGCAGTGGGAGGTAAGGCCAGGAGGGTGCTTAGACTCCGTGAGCACCTCCCATAATCATCCCAGGACCCGGGAGCATCCCCGTCTCCGGGCTGTGAGGACCGCCGGGCGTGTTGGAGGCTGTCACTAACCAGGGCCCAGCTGACGTGCGCCGGCAGCCCCAGTCTGCCTGACCCACAGTCTCCCTCCTGCAGGCCTCCCTGGAACAGCTTCTGCAGGTTCTGCATTGCACGACTCCCCACTACATTCGCTGCATCAAGCCCAACAGCCAGGGCCAGGCGCACAGCTTTCTCCAGGAGGAGGTAATTCACAGAGCTGGAGCTGCTTTGCAGTGAGTTCTATCTGGCCAAGGCTCTGAGGGATTGAAAGGCAGAACTTACCCTCCAGATGGACTGACCAGAGTGTGTGTCTCAGGCTGAGTCTCACATGAGGGCGTCTTGTGTTCCCTGCTTTGGCAGCATGGTCACGTATGGTTTCGTGGTCTGTGCACGGCATGGTAAGCTAGCCGAGATGTCCCCCTGCATCTGACGCTCTGTGCGCTGACTGTGCCCTGCTGACACTGAAGCTGCCCTGTGGGACAGGTGACTCTTGTGATTCGCTGAAAGCCTGCGTCGCCTTAGATGAGCTCAGTGCAGCCATTTCTGTCAAGTTATTGCTGATTTGCATGAATGCAGTCGGCCAGCAGCTGCTCTTTGTTCAGGGTACCGGGCTCTGAGGTGTGGATGAAGTCTGAGTGCTGCACAGTGCTGGAGAGGGTCCCACAGCCAAGTGGTCTAGGGTTGAAGGCCAGGATCTCTCCACTCAGGTCCCGAAGAACCTTTACAGTATGATCTCTCCTCCCTCTCGGCTGTGATTTACTCTGTTGTCCGCAGAATATAAAATAAATAGAAAACAGATTGGGTTGGGCTACATGGTGAGGCAGAGCCTCTGCGCTGCTTGGAGAGCTGAGACAAAAGCAGGACCAGCACTTGCCTCAGCTGCATCCAAAGCCAGGCATCCGATAAGGGTACCTGGGGCCACCTGGACCCTTTCTAGCAGGGAGATCTTCTTAAGGTCCCAAGGAGTAGACCCCCAGCAGCCACTCCTCTGGACAGCCTGCAGGTTCATACCGACCAAGGCCAGGGTAAGGCCTCAGAGGGCAGAAGGAGTGGTATTTCTGACCTGCTGGCCCCATGCCACAGGTGCCCATCCTGTCTCTACCCTTGCAGGTCCTGAGCCAGCTGGAGGCCTGTGGCCTCGTGGAGACCATCCACATCAGTGCTGCTGGCTTCCCGATCCGGTGAGTGGGGCGAGCCAGGCGCGGGGCAGGGCCAGTGCTGGGGTGGAGCTTGGGACTCGGGCGTGATGAGCTGCCCAGCCCAGAGCAGGAGGTGGAGGTGAAGAGAAAGTAGCAGGGCTGCGGAGGTCAACCTGGAGCTCGAGAGGCTTCACTCATTCATTTCGTTTATCCGTTCACTTTCAGTGTACTGTTTTGTAGCAGGCATTGTTTCAAAGTGTCAGTGAATAAGGAGGGTGAGCCTCTGCCTCTTGGGGCATACGTTCCTTTGGGACATACAAGAAGTACGAAGTTAATCAGTGCTAGGAAAGAAACAAAAAAATGCTGCTCAGTAGACTAATGGGAGAAAAGAATCTTTGGGCTGTTGAGGGAGGGGCCCCTCTGAACAGCTCAGGCCTCTGTTAAGGAAAGGTTTGGGGGAGGAAACTGTAAGCACAAAGCTCCCAGTTTAGGAACTAAGATGCTAACGTGACGGGCGCATAGAGACCTGGAGGAGAGCGGCCGCACGGACCCCACAAGGACTTGGCAGTTTGTCCACAGGGCCTGGAAGCTGCTGGATGTTGTGAGAAGAGAGTGCTGTGCTCACATTGATGCTCTGTGGCTGCTGTGTGGAGGATGGACATAGGGGTAGGAGAGAAGGGACATGTTTGAGAAGGCTGTTGCTGGTGTGCAGGCAGGATGGTGACCCAGATGAGGGGGCAGCCATGAAAAATGGAGTGAAATGGGGGAAATTGGAGTATCGTTTCTGATAGAAACGGGATTTTGGGCTGGTTGACCATGGGGTGTGGGCAGGGGAGCAATCAGCTTCCAGGTCACACAGGAAACTTCCAGGCTTCCATCTGAGGCTAATGGATGCATCAGGAGGCAGTTCCCTGAGATAGGATGTCTGGGGAAGGCACAGGCTGGAGGTGGGATGGGAGGAGAGACAGGAATGTGACCTTACCAGGTTTGTAGCGCCTGTAAGATAGGCTTGGAGCCCAGAGCTTTGGGAACTAGAGTGCGTGAGCATCTGTCCTCATCGTGAGCAAGGAGGAAGTCATGGTGGGGAGAGAGAAGTGCTCTGAAGCCGTTCCCTGAGGAACATTCACATTTATAGAGAGGGTAGGTGACAAGAAATCAGCAATGGCAACTTGGCAGGAGTCGTGGGTGAAGGAGGAAGCCAGGCTCCCGGGGGTTGCTGGGGCTGAGAGAACTGCATGAAGACGGGGGCCAGCTGGGCACCTCCCAAGGCCAGTCAGAGCGCTGACTGTTAGATTTGGTGGCGTGGTGTTTGCTGATGGCTGCAACAAGAAGCACATGGGAACAGCGCTGGGGACAGAAGCCAGACTCAGGAGGAGGAGGTAGAGACAGATACAAGGTGTCACCAGCAGTTTAAGTGTTGCAGTGGAGGGGAACAAAGAAATCAGGAGGAAGCAAGGGAGGCTATGGGGTCAGAAGCCACAGATGTGGCTGACTGCATACGCGCCAGGAGCCATCCAGCTAGGGAGAAGCCTGCAAGTCCCTTGGGCAGATCACCTTGGCAGGAAAAGCAGACCCAGTTTAAAACGGTCTCCACTGGCTTCCGTGAATGACTACAGTCCTCCCTCCAGAACCACACCGCATCCATTCACCGCAGGCACTCTGAGGGCAGCGCCTCGCTCCACTGTTGAGTAGATTAAATCAAGGAACTCCCGTTGGCCCCAAGCTCTGTGCCAGGCTCACAGATGAAGTCACTTCATTTCTTCTGCCCCCCCCCCCCCCCCCCCCCGTCCCCTCGGCTTCCAGGATCCCTCACCAGAACTTCGTGGAACGATATGAAGTACTGAGAAGGCTCTGTGCTCGCACATCCTCTGGCCCCCACAGCCCATCTCCTGCTGAAGGGCACTCCGGTGAGTGGGACCCGTGTGCTAGTCACGTGTCCAACCACAGTTGACCGAGTGCCTATCCTGAGCCATCTCGGATGGGGCTGGGCATTCAGAGCAGAGGAAAACACAGCCCTGCTCTCATGGTTCTTGGCTCAGTAGGGGAAACAGACTAAAAGAAGACAAACACTGGGGAAAGTGGAAAGGCAGAGCTGAGAACAGAACGCCTGGGTAGTGCTGGGGAACTGTGAATCAGGGAAAGCTTCCTGGAGGAAGTGGTGTCTGAGGACAGATGGCATTGGCCAGGTGAAGAGCATTCCACAGGACAGGTAATTGGATGGAGGGCTGCATGCAGTAGACAACACTGTGTGTGTGAGGAACTCCAGGCCAGAGTTGCTTGTCCATAAGGACAGAGAACAGGTGGAGCTGGGACTGGGGTGATAGGCATGTCACAGAAGCTGAGCTGTATTCTCTGGGTAGATGGAGCCACGTCAGAGTAGCAAGAGAGTGACATCAGCCTCATGCTTTCTGGAGACCACTCTGGGGCCCCTATGGCAGGCCATGGGAGTGAGGCTATTAATACTGGCCAGAGTCAAGCTAGAGGTATGGGCACAATGGGCAGTGTTGGGAAGAAACTGGTCAGACTGTGCCTGGCCAGTGGGGAAGAGAGGTTTGGGGGAGCTGCTGAGCCCCATAGGGCTGACTTGAGCTCCAGGTCCCTGGAGTCATCCTGTGGAGGCATCTGCAAAGCCCTCAGCAAGCTCTAATGTCAAGGGAAGGTCACATGTGGCCCCAGTTTGGGGGTTGTCAGCATGTAGGGTAAGCCCCCTGCACAGGTGGAGGAAGAAGAGGCCAAGGACAGAGTGGGAGGACCCTGCCCAGCAGCAGTGGCTCCCACGCACACAGCCCTGCCCTGGAGCCTGGCAGACCTGGGACAGTTCTGCTTTCCCTCCTCTCTTGGGCACAGTTTTGTCACTTGCCTTTCACTCTTTTCCCCCACTTCTTTCCTTCCCCTCTCTTCATGATCTGCTCTACTGCTCTGTGTCTCGTGCCCAAAGCCCCCTTCGCCCCTGGTTGATTTTGCGGTTTCTCGTCTGCGGCGTCTTCTTTGGCAGCCTCTGTCTCCAGAGTGGCACTGGGCAGCAAAAGGTGGTCAGAGCCCTCAGGTAAATCCTCTATAGGAGCCAGCCCTGCACACTGCGGGAGGGCAGGCAGGGGCACCTGTTGGGCCTCTCTGGGACCGGGATTTGTTCGCCCTTTTCTCACGTGGCAGGAAGTTGAGGGGTCAGGCAGAGGGAACGGCCCAGCTGCCCTACTTGGCCCTCAGCATGTTTGGGGCCTTGGAACACATGCTGGCAGAGTAGCCTGGGCTTCCAGATTGGGGTCCAGGCACCAAGTGCTCTTTGCCAGCTTGCCCAGGGAACCCGTGGGGATGGAGGCTATGGGCCAGCCCAGGGCCCAGCCACAAGTAGGGAGTTCAGTATGCCTCAGAACACTAGGGTTCTCCCCACAAAAAGGGTGGAGAAGTGGTTAGAGGCAAAAACAGGAGCAGAGAAGCCTGTGGAGTAGTGAGGAGACCAGAACCAGTTTCTCAAGTCCACAGAAGTGTGTAGATGACCAAGAGCTGATGGGACCTCCATCTCCCATTCCACAGAAAGGTCTCCGTGCACCGAGGCGGCCACTCTGCAAGCTATCCTCCAGGACATCCTCCACACTCTTCCAGCTCTGACTCAGGCAGCAGCCACACTTGGTGACCCTGCTAAGGCCACACCAGCCCCAGTTCACTGTGGCAGGACCAAGGTGTTCATGACGGACTCCATGGTAAGCTGGTTGATGGTGAGGAGGGGAGTTCTCCGAAGCCAGCCGCTTGCTCTCCTCAGCACCACGGGGTCTGGAACCACTTCGGGGCAGTGGGAGGAGCGGCTGAGGCCCTCAGTGGATACCCCTTCTCCCAGCTGGAGCTTCTGGAAGACAGACGCGCCCAGGTGCTGGAGCAGTGTGCCCGCCGCATCCAGGGCAGCTGGAGGCGACACTTGCATCGCAAGCAGGAGAGGCAGAGGCAGGCGGCGGTGCTTATCCAGGCAGGTAGGAGGCAGACCCTGCGTGATCGGAGTGATCGGAGTTTCCTGCAGAACCTTATGCCAAGGCCGTGTCTGAGCCTCAGCACATGGATGGCACGACCCTATGGTGCACTGGGATTCGAATTCCAACACACCTCACCCATTGTCTCCCCAGTCCAGTGAAAACCAGGTCACACCACAAGTAAGGCCACTCTGTAGGCAGCAGAGACTTAAAAAATTGCCTTTATTCCCCTTTCCCAGACCTGGAGGGTGGCTTATGCCACCTTCCTCTGCTTCCACAACAAATCATTATGTGCTGGGTCCAGGGCTTGTAATGAGTTTGAGAAGATTTGATTTATCAAAGGAAGAGACATAGAAAGCATATTCACAGCAGTCTTAGCTTGAAAATACTAGAAACCACCCACATAGCTGACCGTAGTAAAGTCATGGTTATGTCATGAACCAAACTTATGATACAGCCAAGAAGTCTTTTTGAAGAGTATTTTAAATTTAATGGAAAACCACTTGCAATGTGATGTTCAAATCAGGATACCAAACTGCATGTCAAGCATGATGCCACCTTCCTCAGGTGTGTTTCTGTATTTACAGGCCTAATAAAATCGTGTAAGCAAACTGTAGAACTCTGCATTGGTCAGATAACAGGATTTGGATCTGTCTTTAAACTTTTTAGTTTTCTAAAATCCAAACTATTAATAGTGAATGGAATAGCCCCTTTTCTGAATGTAAAAGAACGAGAAAATGCTCAAAGTGCAAGAGAAGGAAATGAAAATTGCGACACGATCAGTCTACCATCGTGGGCGCATGGTGGGGGCTCTGTTTATGAATTCTTAAGGCCAATAAGCAGCTTGAGCTGAGGATTTCCGCCTTGTTCCCCAGGCACTGCCTCGGGCAGTGCCTGAGGCGGAGGTGAGCTTGCTCCCCGCTGCCCTTCCACACGAGGTCTGTCCCAGCCTGACGGTTCCGAGCCTGAAAGCCTTCCAGAGCTTACAGAGGGCCTTTGTTCCCTCCTGTAGGCGGCATCGTGGGCTGGCCGTTCACCAAGGAGGCACAGGTTCTGGGCAGCTCGGGCGTGGCCGCAGGGCCAGGCTTGCAGAGTTCTAACGTTTCATTTACTTTCTTGTCTCTGGGCAAACCTGCCAGCCATCCGTTCCTGGTTAGCTCGGAAACACGTGCAGAGGCTACACACAGCCGCCACAGTCATCAAGCGCGCGTGGCGGAAGTGGAGAGTGAGTATAGGACTCCCGCAGGCAGGATGGGTGGTGGCTGGCTGGCACCCAGCGGCCCTGGGCTGGAGCGCTCGCCGGACACTGCACGGAACACCACCTGTCCCCCGGGGCGCCTGGGGTGCAGAAAGGGCAGCATCAGCAACTCGGCATATACTAAAAACCATGGAATTCTGCACTTTCAAGGGGTGAATTTTACAGTCTCTTAATTAGATCTCAAGGCTGTTACTTTTAAAGTAGCAAATGTAAGGCCTGAGCACAGGTGCCTTGGGCACAAAGATGTTTGGCCACAAGGCACCCATCTGTTTGAAGGCATCCAGCTGTTCAACAGCCCTGTGCCCTTCAGATCACCTTGTTGAGCTATCTTATTATAGTTTGGGTTTCCATTAAGAACTAACAGATTGAAAGCTATAAAGTGGCATTCTCCTTTTTTAAGATTGGAATGGCCTTCCTTGCCTCGAAAGAACTGGATGGTGTGGAAGAAAAACACTTTTCTCAAGTTCCCCTTCCCACGGGCTCCTCCCTGCTGCCACAGACACAGACCAGCCTCCTGGCAGCAATAATCCGCCTCTGGCCCCTGGGACTGGTCCTGGCCAACGCAGCTGTGGGGGTCCGAGGCTTTCAGAGGAAGCTGGTGGTCTGGGCCTGCCTCCAGCTCCCTGCGGGAAACCCCACTAGCTACCCAGTCCAGACAGCACAAGGACAAGCTGGTGTCACATCCATCCGAGCACTGCCTCAGGTAAGCTGTGTGATGGGACAGCAGTCCTGCCCACAACGGCTCTGGGTCCCTCACACCTCCTTGTAGAAGGCAGGAGCCAAAGCCCAAGTCCACAGCAGGAGCAGGACTGAGGCAAGAGCTGTTATGACCAGGGAAGCCAGAAGCCTGAGCTTCCCAGCTGGCTACAGGTTTGGGTGGTTTCCATCATTACAACTCAGAATTTTCCAGATTCCTCCCACTTTTTATTTATTTATTTTAAAGATTTTATTTATTTGACAGAGAAATCACAAGTAGGCAGAGAGAGAGGGAAGCAGGCTCCCTGTTGAGCAGAGAGCCCAATGTGGGGCTCAATCCCAGGACCCTGGGATCATGACCTGAGCCTAAGGCAGAGGCTTAACCCACTGAGCCACCCAGGTGCCCCCCTCCATTCCCCTTTTATAAACTGCCTCTAAGTGTTCTGGCTTCTCCTCTGAAATCTCCATTTAATTAGTCCCACTTTTTGTGATGACAGTTTATTGTCTCAAATAGCACTGAAGTTAGCATCCTATTTTCCTCAAATTATTACTTCGTTTATCTCCTGCTCCAGCTGTGCAAATGACAAGCAGGTAAGTCAGTGGTCCAAGATCTCTGTTTTTATAGTATGGGCAGCCAGGGGAAAGACTCAGCCAACACACATAATGGGCTAATGCTCAACCTGCCACATGAGGTCCCAGCAAGGGTTAAGTGACACAAGTCAGAAGGAAGGAAACAGCGAGTTTTCATACCTGAGGAATTACGGTAGGACGGAACCTAGACATCTCCGTGACAACACATGGGTCAGCCAGATAAACAGCAGTGGGACTGTTTGCCAGTTTTAAGCAGTCTTAGGACTGTGACAGGCAACACTCTTACAGGAGAGAGCTCACGATATGAAATGTTGTATTTTAATTTGCCACTTGTTTAGAATGAGCAGAAAGCCTGCATTCAATCCTGCTCCTGCTGGGACTCTGCTATCAGTGCTTGTCCACACCTCTGCGTTTCTAGCACTGGCGCTGTGGGGCACCGAGAGGGCTTGAACTCCCGGGATCTGGGATTCCAGCAGTCTCTCTCTCTCTCTCCCTAGGGCTCGATCAAGTTCCACTGCAGGAAGTCTCCACTGCCGTACGCTGACATCTGCCCTGAACCCTCACCCTACAGTGTTAGTGGCTTTAATCAGATTCTGCTGGAAAGACACAGCCTGGGCCACGGGTGAGGTCTTCTCACCTTCTAGCCTCACCTGGCTGGGCAATCCTTTGGTGCCTTTGTGTCTACAAGGCCTTTTTCCTGCCAGCTGCGTTGCCAAAGACATTTAATCCACACAAAGCTGCCAAACTACTCCCACAGCAACTCCAAGCACTTGTGACCAAGCAATGTGTTGCAGCCCCTGCACTAGGGGCCTGGGGCTGCCCTCTACATCTCAGGCCCTGACAGGTGTCGGGCTGGTTAGCAAATCAGGGCTAAGAAACCTCAGGGCCACAGAGGATGTCCCCCATTTTACTACCTTCATAGATCCAACGCAGCAGGGCAGTCCATCACTACAGTGGGGCACCCCGATTCCCTGCAAATAGAACAGGTGGGTCAGCTTGAAATTAGCCCCCAAATTTCAACTAGGATATTTGCATTTAGTTCCTTTAAAAGGAACAAATCCTCACTATTTTTAATATGTTGATTTATTTAATGTAATAATGTAACAGAAGGGTGAACAATACAATTTACCACAGAATTACCATATCCTGATTTTATTTAGCAACAGTGAGCAAGTTTTAACTCAAATGGGTATAAAACTTGACCAATCATGTGATGTCTAAACTGTACCAAAATTAAAATATTTAAATACCACCATCTGAATGTCCAGTTCTCCCTCCATCAAGGGTTTGTCACCTTGAGTATCCTCCTCTTGTCTGAAACCCACGCCCACAGTGCTGGAGACAAAGACCTTGTGCAGCCAGCCTGGAAGTCAGCACTGTGGCCGAGGGCCCCACGCTAGCTCTTCTGGGGGTAGCAGGCAGGACAAGCGCACGCGCACATGCCAGCAAGCAGCCCGGGAGTCCAGCTCACGAATCCTCCTCCCGGGATGGCTCCACGATCCGTAAACAGCAGTCCGCAAACTCCACGAACAAGGGCTCCTGCATGCAGGCTCGCATGAGCTTCGCCTTGTTGTCACCCTGATCGAGGCTGACCATCAGCTGTCGAAGGTGCGGGTTAAGCAGCAGGCTTCTCAGTGCTGCAGACTTGCCTGAAGGACGAACGAGAAAGCCGATGTGGGTTCAAGTGGGGACAGATGGAGACGGCTAAAAGCTAAATGCGTCCAGTGTAGTACACGTCAAGGGTGCTGCATACCCTAAACCTTTAAACCCGAGAATGGAACCCATGCTCCACGTTAACAAGGTGAGGTCACCAGAGCAGCTGATCTCCTAGTTAAAGGCCGTCAGATTCTTGTTCTCAGCATCTCTATAAATAGTTTAACTTTATGCCATTTCAACTAGGAAAAAAATACCAGCACATACACAGAGAACAACATGAATTTGTTGGCACGTTCTGTTTTTCATGGGCCTGAAGGTTCTCCCGGGTGAGGAGAGTTATACCAAACAGTCTGAGTGCTGTAAAAGCCAGCGCGTGGCCCTCGCACCGCAGCCTTGGTAGCAATGAACAGATACGGACATCTGCCTGCTGCCTCACGGTTTACAAAACGGTCCACACCTGCCCTCAGCCTCACTGCCGTGGGACTGGGTGCGTGGCAGGGTGGGCCTCAGGTGACAGAAACAAAACCTTCCCCATGCAGGAACCACACTGGCCCGTTCATCACACCCTTCACAGAACCGCCCCCAGGCCTGACCATGTGGGCCTACAAAAACGCCAGGCGTTATGAACACCTGAGTCCCTCTAAAAATCTGTCTGCCGGAGTGACCAGACCACCTACGGAGCACGGGGGAGGTGGGAGTAAATGCAGGCCCTGCTCTACAGACTGGCGTGGGAGAAGTTACCATCAAGTATGAGTGGTGTATTTCCAGGCCCTATGGGAAGGTGAAAGTGTTTGCTTCTGAGAAAGACAAAAGGTCAAGGAAAGTTAAGGTGAGGAAGGGTAACCTGAACCAAGCCTTGAGGGAGAACTTTGCCAACCCACAAAAACAGCAGGATTCCAGGCAGGGAGATGTGAAAGCCCCGAGTGTTTATGGAGTCAAGTGGCCAGAGGGCTCTGCGTACCACACTCCGTTACAGGGACCCCTGAACACCACAGGTTTGAGCTGCACGGGTCCACTCCTATACAGTCTTCCCCCACCAATACAGCAGTGTTGTAAATGTGTTTTCCCTTCTTCGTGATTTTCTTAACATTGTCTTTTCTCTCATTCACCTTATTGTAAGAATACAGCATGTAATACATGTAACATACAGAACGTGTGTTAATCGACTTAAGTTATCGGTAAGGTTCCGGTCTACAGTAGGCTAGGAGTAGGTAAGTTCTGGGGGCGTCAGAAGTCACAAATTTTCAACTGGAGGGTGGACGAAGGGGAGCCCTACCCCTGTGCAGTCTAAGGGTCACCTGTATTTAGTAACTTAAAAAAAATCAGACTCTATACATTGAATTAAATATATCAGTGGTTGATGAAGAAGCAAGCACACACTTACCTAGATTCTTTAAGTTCTGCAAAGACACTCTGTCCTCTTCCTCATCACTATTGAGAAAGTCAGCTACAGAGTCATCGTCATCTGAGGAACACAGAGCACAACTAATTATGACTAGAAACAAAGCCTGGACGCCAGACTTGAACAACTCCAACAGATAAAAGTGCACATAGGTGACAGTAGCGAGGGGAAGCAGGTACTGACAAAACAAAAATGACCTTGTCTGGAATTCATGACTTTACCAACATTCCTCTTTTTGGGGAAGGAGGGTGAAGCCAAGAATTGGGGAGTTTAACAAATGTACCCTAGTGTGTTCACATGCTTGTTCTATGTGCTTGTCTGGTCTTTAGGCCAGGAGCCTGATTTTCCAATCCCTATCACCCCAGCTCTCCTCACTATGGCTCCAGCCCTGTCAGGGGCCAAAAAATTCGGTGCTCAGTAAAAACCTGCTGACATGAATACCTTGTGTTTTCAGTACAGTCAAAAATTTCTGACACTGCCTAAACCCAACAAGGAGGTTTCTCAAAGGGCAAAAATAGGATATCCCATGCTGTGAATGTTCAATACCTCTTTGCTGGCACCAGGAGGGGCTGCCTTCAGAGGCTGGCATGGTGCCTGACACCCAGGGGAGACTAGTCTGTAGAGATGGCTGGGATAACTGCGCTCCCACAATAAGCTGGGAGGCGCCCCCAACAGCAGGAAGGAGAGCTTGGCCCAAGGGAGCCTCCCACATGAGCCTGGCTCAGGTGAACCGACGCTCCAGCCAGGCCCAGGGAGGGAAACCTGAAGCCATGACTGGAGAAGGCTCCTGTCATGAGGGTGTCCCCCTCCCCCGAACACCACAGCCAGCTGCCTCTCACACCCTTATTTCCTGTCCTTAACAGTGCCCTCAGGCTGCTCTAGACTACACAGCAGGGGCCCCCACTCCTAGTGCTCTGGGCTATGGAAGCTGTTCTTAATGAAGCCATCTTTCCTGACTCCCTGTCCCAACCCACATCTCTTTTCTTTCAGTTATTACCTTGAAACCCTTTCAAGGTTAGTTTTTTTGAAGTCAAGCAACCCACCTTTGTTTTCTGCGGGCTTTACAGTTTTTGCCATAACAGCGGACCTTATTTTTTTCTCAGCAGGACAAGTTTTGGGGTTGCACTGCTCTGAAAGAGACATAAAGAGATGCACATCACCTCCACTTCAGTGACAAGGCCACACTGCCCCACCGAGCCAGCTTCTAGGTAGGAAACATGTATGTGGTTAGGGATGGCGGGGGGAGGGTGGAGATGGATGCAGAGAAAGTGAGGGACCCTCTCAAAGGGCAGCACTGAGAAAACAAGCAACCCTGGGCCCGGCAGAGGATGGAAGAAGCAGGCCTCACGAACCTGAAAGCTGTCCCCATCCTCCTTTCCCCTGCCTAACCTCGCTGGGCTCTCCCTAGGATTAAGTGACACACTGACTTCAATTAGCGAACGATTTTCTCAGCAGTTTCAGGTACCAAATTTGCATGTACCACATGCCGCTGGGATGACAGAGATGAAAGTCATCAGGCCCACCTCAGGGGGTTAAGCCTTAGGGATGGCAGCTAGAAACCTGGATAAGAGTCCGATCGATGTCACCTGAGAGGACTGGAAGACAAAGGGGAGGTGCTGCCAGGTGGAAAGAGCATTCCTGACAGAGAGGTCTACAGCTGGACCAGAACCCTGGAAGAACAGGGTCATGTGCAAGGACAGTGATACGCAACTAGCAGCTGACTGACAGGGCAGGACTGGCAGGTGGCTGGGATGCAAGTGGAGGAAGCAAGAGCAGGAGAGGGCCACACGGGAGGCTGCCCTTTCTTCCCAAGAGCAGTGTCTCTCATCAAAGGCACTGTGATGTTCAGGGTGGAAAGGTCTTTAACAGTGTGAGATGGTCTCACACTCCACACGATGTTTATTTGCACCAACACCAATTACCAGAAGTGCCCCCAACCCTCCTCAGCTATTGTCACAACAGAAACATTCTCACAATGTGTCTCCATACAGAGAGCAATACCCAGGCTAAGAACCACCACCTACCTCTGCAACAAGGGAGTGAATTACTCAAATGTGCATTTTAAGAGAAACCCTGGCCGCAGCAGGGCCACACAGTGAAGAGCTCCAGATTGCCCCGTACTGCCCTAGGGTTTCTTAGAGGGGCCACTCAGGACCGCACTGCCAGAGCAAAGCTTACCAGCCCGGCTCCCCAACCCAATTTTCAGCAAAGCAGTTCTACCTCTTTCTATCTTGAACGGAAAAGTTTCCTTTGAAAATGCTCAAGAAATACTAGGGTAAAAAACAAAAACAGCAGGGGGAGGCGTACAGCTCGAAACATACCTCTAGGCCAAGGAGGGCGAGGGAATCACGCTACAGGCAAAAAACCAATAAGGCACTTCAATAACCAGAATCAACTCAGCATGAGGTCATGGGAAAGGGTCCCTGAGGACTAAGAGGCTGCTCCAGATTGGAATTAAAATGTAGACTTAACAGCACTAACCTCCCCTTAAGGTAAACGGATCTACCTCGTTGTTTCTAGCCAGGCATTTAAAGAAGAAAAAATTGTTAACTGCAGCCAGCGCAGCTTTTGAGAATACTAAGAAACTACTAGGGCTGACTTTGGCGGCCAAAGCAGTCACCTATTTTTAAGGGGAAGGGGCGGTCTCTAGGAGGAAAGGTATAGCAGAAGTTTCTGACTGGTCCAAGTCCCGGGAAGCATTCACAGGCAGAGATTCCCCCTGGGGCTCCAACAGGATTGGGGGAGGCAAGGCCGGGAGAGACGCGGCGGGACGTGGGGGCTGCCCGCGCGAGAAAAGGGGCGGCTCGGGGGCGCGGGGAGACTCGGGGGCCTTACCTTTGTGCTTCCGGAAGCAGGTCACGGAGCAGCTGTAACAACAGAGGCCACGGGCCGCGTTAGCCCGGGAAGTCGCGCGGACCCTCCCGGGGTCCCCGTCCGGACCCCGCCGCCCCGCCCGGTCCCCTTCCTGACGATTCCCGCACTCACTAAGGCACACGGCAGGCGGGGCAGCGGTATTTGGGCTTCTCCAAGCAAATCACGCAGACGGCGGCGCTGCAATTGAGCGACGCCATAATCCCCCCACAGCCTCTTCTCCCCGGACGCGCCAGCCTCTGACCCGGAGTCCCCCACGTGCACGCCCTTTTTTCCTCGCTTCCTTAGCCGGGACCAATCGTCGCGCAGCACTCAGCGGCAGTCAAAAGCAATGGACTGATCCTGCTCATTGCTCCAGTCCTGATAAGTAGAAAGTAGATACACTCGATCCTTCGGCTTCCCGGAGTAGGTCTCGCAGTCGTCCCTGGGTGGGGGCAGGGAGAGGGAGAGAGAGAAGGCGGCTCCCCACTGAGCAAGACGTCCCACGCGGGACTCCATCCCAGGACCGAGGGATCATGACCTGAGCTGAAGGCAGACGCTTAACCCACTGAACAACCCAGGCGCCCCTTAGACTTTCTAATTCTTGCAAGGGCACTGGGTCCTCCCCCTCGACATTCCATTTGCTTATATCTAGCAAATGAGAAATCCAGACCCTGGTCCAGAATGGGTTAGATTGAGTGACACACACATGCTCTTCCCTGCTTAAGCCCTTTTTCTCTCAGGAAAGAAAGCTGAGGCTTGACCGCTGACCAATGTTTATTGAGCTCCAAGCAACAACACTGCACAGCCCAGATGTTGGGCTGGGGGCCCCAAGGCAGTAGCAGGCACAGTCTCTGCCCTCTATGAGCTCAAAGCTTAGAGTGGTGGCAGGAGGGAGAAGAGACCGTCTTAGGGTCCTGCCGGTGCTAGCCTGCACTTGCACGGCCCAGAGAGCCAATGCCTCTTCAAATCTTGCATTCTGGGCTCCTCACTCACTTGGCTTGGTCATGGAACAGATGAGTGAGCTCTGGCCCAAAGGAGGGGATTCTGGCCTAATGAGTCCAGATAGATGAACTGCGACGGGCCTTGAGTGGCACCTCAGGCTTTAGGAACAGTCATGTTTCATTAGCACCCTTACCTCCTTGAAGCCCTTAACACCGCCCAGCCCAACCAGGGCTGCCACCACACACCTAGGGCCATAAGTCATTCTCACTCCCAAGTCCCTCCTCCCTTGTGTTGAGCCCATTAGCTCTCAGGATTCCACTACTCTAAAGGCTCCACATGATTGTCATTGTTTTTGCAGATAACCTGGTAGGACCAAAGAAATTGTTCGAGTCTTGGCTCAATCCCCTCCCTGGCTATGTGACTTCTACAGTCTCTGAGGTCCCTCACCTATTAGTGTGGATGTGCAGGCCTGATGTCCTGAGCTGCTGAGAAGCAGAGAAAAGACCATGTGTAAAAATGTATGTAATCTGAGCAGAGACAGAGTCTCAATGATTGCGGGCTGGGGCTTGCAGTGTGGCATGAAGGGACCAGATTCCAGATTGGCTCAGATTCCATCCCGGTATCTACCTCCCTCCTTGGAGACACAGCGACCTCCACTGGCCTTGCCCAGCACTTAGCCCGGAAGACCAACAAACAGGCATTTACAACAGCTATAACCTTCAAAACAAAGTAACTCCGAATTACTGATGGAAAACAGGATCGGGGCGCCTGGGTGGCTCAGTCATTAAGCGTCTTCCTTTAGCTCAGGTCATGAACCCAGGGTCCTGGGATCGAGCCCCACATCGGGCTCCCTGCTCCGCGGGAAGACTGTTCTCCCTCTCCCACTCCCTCTGCTTGTATTCCCTCTCTCGCTGTGTCTCTCTCTGTCAAATAAATAAATAAAATCTCAAAAAAAAAAAAAAAAAAAGAAAGAAAGAAAACAGGATCAAAGGAGAAATAGAGTTCTAGCAGCATGGCAGAAGTGAGGATTTGTAACTTATGTAGAATATATACATAAATAAATAGATTGAATGTTTTTAAAAGTTTGTAATTTGAAGCACTACAAAGGATTTATTTGCTAACCCAGAGTCTGTAACTCCTGGAGCTCAGGTCCCAACCCTATGAGTGCAGGTGTTGCCCCCAAGTCCCTCAAGGCCAGGGTCCCGAAGCTCAGGCCCCTCCAAAGGGGTTCTGCTGTCAGCCTCTATGGGCCACCCTCGGTGGGCCTAGGCCACTATCCATCTCGGCTTTGGATTTGCCCAACCGCCCTGGGGATGCTGTTCAATCCTTTGTGCGGGAGTAGCATCGACCCCGACCTGCCCCACATGCAGCTGCCCCCGGGTAAACCAAGACCTGCCTGAAATCTAAGACATGTCCACACTGACCCAATAATCAGCGGCATCTCCTGTATTCTTCAACACTTGTGACCACCCCAGAACCATCCCAGAAGGTCCACGCTTACCTGGGAAGGCCAGAGAAGGTCAGTGATTTGCCCAGGCCATGGTTGAATCCTGTGCCCTGTCTCACACCTGGTAGAAATCTGCTGACTGTGGACAACACCACCACCCATTCCAGATTTTTCCTGTGAGTTGTGTTTGGAGAATGAGGCCAAGGAGAGTCTCCACAATTTTCAGGGCTCAACCCCACGTCACCCACATCCAAACCACGCTTATTCCTCTACCTTGGGGTCCAGAGATGGTGACTTCAGTGAAAAGAAAGTTTCTGGAATTCCTCCCATGCACATTCCACGCAGTAAAGGCAGCCTTCCCTCTACTCTGGGAGACACTGCAGCATCCCAAAACAGCTGTACCCCTCCTGCTCCAATGTCCAGGAAAGAAGGTGGCTCGGCGATGGTGATGAGGTTGGGGAACATCAAAAGGCCAAGCAAGGCCAGTATAGATCTTCTTGGCAGTGGCCAGTTCAGAAAAAAAATGACACATAAGACTCCAGGCCCAGCAACGCACGTCCACACTGATGTAGCCACCCTTAGCAGCACCCTGATTCTCCCTGGACACCCGTCCAAACCCATCCTAGCAGCTAAGGCTGCCTCACACCTTCCAAACCCGACCTGGAGAGGGGTGGGGTAGAATGATTTTCAGAGCTCTGCCACCCCGCAGGCGCTGTCCAGCACATTCCGGGGACCAAAGCCAAAGCTTGGCGTTGCATGTGGAGGTCCAGGCCCGCCGCTAAGCACCGCCAGAGGGCGCTCCAGGTCCAGACTGGCCTGGTGCCGCGGAACTCGAGCTGGATTGGAGTAAACACCCCCTCCCCGTCAGAGCGAAGTCTGTCTCGCTGCACAAGGGAGGGTAAATCCAGGCATTGGCCTCTTTGTACCTCGAGCATCGCCAAGAGGCAGGAAAAGCGTGGAGGGCGCGGTGCTGAAGCCAGCCACCGGATGGGCAGGAGTGTGTCCTCCACAAAAGCAAGACCCTTATCAGCAGAGGGTTCCAATTGCAACTGGCCTTCGAGCGGCAACTCCCCGCCCAACGCTTCCTGGCATTTCCAAGGGTGGAGATCCAGCTGCAAGCTGGCCACCCACATTAACTGATGAAAGTTTAACCGTGCTTTGGGAGCATGGGCTTACTAACCAGGGCCTGAGCCACTTCCCTGCACCTTCCCCGGTGCCATGATGGGGTTTGCTGAGCCATCTAATCACCCAACCTGAGCTACATGTTCTGGTTATCAGACGCAGGAGGTGCATAAGGTTGGGCTCTCTGCTGCCTTGCCATATCTCAGCTGCTGCTGCTTCTTTAAGATTTTATTTATTTGACAGAGAGCACAAGCAGGGGGAGCAGAGGAAGAGGGAGAAGCAGGCTCCCTGCTGAGCAAGGAGCCCAATGAAGGATTCGATCCCAGGACCCTGGGATCATGACCCTAGGGGAAGGCAGCTCATTAACCAACTGAGCCACTCAGGCACCCCTCAAATCTCAGCTTCTTGTTGCAGCCCTAACACCTCTACCCCTCCCCAGGGCATGGGGGACCCAGGGTCAGCACCAGGAGGAGTGTCTGAGATTGGGATATTTGAGGGCCTTCTGCCTCATTCTCATCTACTCCTCCACTGCTGTTTCTCCTCTGGTATCTACATAGTTCAGACGTTAAAGTGAGTGAGGCTGCTGGTGGGAATCAAATTAAGGAGGCCCGAGGTTCAGGTGGAGTGGAGTGGTCGGTTTCCAACTCTGAGTGTTATCTTACAGCAGTGAAGAGATATTCGTTCCCAAATTCTAGACCGTAACAGTCTGACCTACAATTAGACTTCAAGGAGAACTTCCAGACAGCAAAAGGGATAAAGAATAATTGCACTAGGTAGGCCTGGGTGGCTCAGTCAGTTAAGCTTCTGCCTTTGGCTCAGGTCGTGATTCCAGGGTCCTGGGATCGAGTCCTCCATCATGCTCTCTGCTCAGCAGGGAACGTGCTTCTCCCTCTCCCACTCTCCCTTCTTGTGCTCCCACTCTGGCAAATAAATTAATTAATTAGATATTTTTAAAAAGGAATAATTGTGTTATTCCCGGTCCCAGAGCTGTTGAGAAGGCACAGACAAAAGAACTCACCATTGTTTCATAAACATATCCTACCACCCAAACCTCACACTTTTCTCACACCCTCTCCCACTTGCAGATCCACACAGATCCCACCTTACACTCCGTAGGACAGAGATCAAAGGAATCAGGACTTCCCAGCCAGATTCTCCAGGAAGCCTCTCGGGGTCCCACGTGGACAGGGAGTGGATCTGGGCTTTGCACCAACCTCATATCCATGTGACGGAGAAGCACAGGAACTCCACTCAGTAAGGAGCGGAGAAACTGAGACCCCAAACTGCCTTCCCCCTTCTCAAAAATAAAGACCGAATAAAGAGTCCAAACAGAAACCATGAGAATTCTTCACTAGCAGATCTGCACCAGAAAGTTATAAAAGCCAAAGGAAAATAATATCAGATGGAAATGATACCACCACACACCGGGTGGAATGACGAAAATGAAAAAGACTGGCAATACCCAGTGCTGGCGAGGAAAGAGGCTGCTGGAGTCTGGATTTTTGTGCCCCGCCCCCCAAATTCATACATTGAAATCCTATCCCTCAATGTGATGGCATTGGGAGGTAGGGCTCTGGGAGGTGATAGGGTCATGAGGGTGCAGGCCTCGTGAAGAGGATTGTGCCTTTGTGAAAGAGACCCCAGACAGAGAGCTCTCTTGCCCTCTTCCTACCATGTGAGGATACAGTGGGACGATGGTGGCCCGTGAAACAGGAAGCGGGTTCTCACCAGACACCCAATCTGCATGTGCCTTGATCATGGACTTCCCAGCCTTCTCCAGACCTATGAGAAATAAACATTTGTTGTTTAAGCCACTCAGTCTCTGGTATTTTTGTTATAGCAGCCCAAGTGGACTAAGAATTGGTACTAAGAAGTGGGGTGCTGCTATAAGGAATACCGAAAAATGTGGGAGCAGCTCCGGAACTGCACAACAGGCTGAGGCCAGAGTTCCGAGATGCTCGCTAGAAAATGAGATGTCTACATTGCCAAGAATGCACCTTAATGGGCAATTCTGCTGAGGGCTCAGAACGAAAAGGAGAGCGCTGTAGAGAAAGCCTCCCTCTTCATAAGGAATCCATAGGTGGTCACAAACAGAACGCTGGTAGAAACGTGGGCAACGCGGGCCATTCAGGTGACGTTGCCCAGAAACGAGGAACATGTTACTGGAAACGGAAGGAAAGGCGATCCCTGCTGTAGAA